TTTAAAATTATTTCAAATTATTTTACGTTAGAAAACCTCGAATTTGAAAAAATTGAAAAATAATGAAGCGTGTTCATTCAAGGTCATATGTAGCATAATCATCTCATTATTCAACATAATTGTAATATTTGGAGATGGACATGGACCACCTGGGAATGACTGGCCGAGAGAAATAAGCTCCTAAAAAAATAAATTCTTCTCCCAAGAAAATGATTCCTTGGCAAAAATAATTTTTTTTCTCAGTGTGTATTCCGTCTACTCATATCCAAAAAATGTGAGTACAAAAAAGTAGTCGACGAGTGATCGCTCAAGACCGGTAAAGAAATAACGATAATTTTCTCGTTCAGTTCTCAGATAAAAAAAAAATCTATGAGGAAAGTGATTATCTTAAACCACAGTTGTTGGAGAACCCATTATTATTATTATGCAACATTAACCAACAATCCGAGCGCTTTACGGTAATAAATGCGAGAAAGAACTCGATATTTTTTGTCAAAGAATACAATTATTTGATTTTTTCCCCTAAATGATGATGATGATGGAATTTCTTGCTCTATAATTTTTTTTTAATATTGAAGTTAGGATGGCAATATTTCCAAGTCAAACAGCGGAATAGATTAATGATAAAGAACGTGATATCCTTTTTTTAAATCAAATCTTTCAATCATAAAAACGAAGACAATAATAGTAAAAATGCAAATGAAATTTCATTTTCGTCTTTGTCAACATAGCGCAGTGAAACGTGCAAAATTATATAGAGATGAATAATTATCTAAAACGTAACATGTTTTTTATGGCCATTGAGATTTTATGCAGAAAATTTTTTGCACCATTTTCTTCTAAGAGCAATCGTTCATAAGACAATAGAGCACTAAAAAGCATATTAAAAATAATTGGTTGACATTCATTTATTCCGTTTACTGATATCTAAAGAAGTTCATTGTTCAAGATCGATAAAGCAATATTGACAATTTTTTGCCAAGATATGAAGAAAATCTATGAGGACAGTGATTACAATCAGCAGTTGTAGGAAAACCTAAATTGCTCTTCCTTATAGTGAAATATTAGCAAACAATCCAAGCGCTTTGCGATCTCAAATGTTAAAAAAGATTTAATAAATTGTGAGTTATTGATAAATCTATGTCTTTAGCAAGAGTAAAATTCTTCAATTTTTGCCAGTTTCCTATTTACTAAAGATGAAAGAAGCGTGAAGTTGTTTTATATCGAAATATCTCGAAACTGCCTGTACCGCTAATTCTCAATTCAGATTGGTCAATGAGTCACGTGAAGTAGTCGCTGAAAAAAATCCCCGGGATTTTCAAATTCTTCAGATTCCAGAAAAAATTTCTGCATCACATTTTTCATTTTTTCATGTGTGAAGTTTGTCTTTATATCAAAACATCTAAATTTCCTGCTTGTTGATCATGAGAAAAAAAGCAGTATTTCTAAATTTTTTTAACTCGCAAAGTATTCTGCACTTCCCAAATTTTAATTTTTTCATATTTATCATACGCAAAAATTATCAGTTCTTGCTTCTCAGATTTTCATACATAAATTCTAAACTCTACAAATTCATGAAAATTCTTCGGTTTCCCAAATAATTCAAGAAAAGTCTTTGAAGATCTACGGTTATCTGGAAAATTGTGAAATTTTCCGAAGAATTCAAGAACTTTTTTCAATGTTCTAGAAAATCAATTTATAACCCTCCCCTCATTTTTCAACCATTACAGATTTTAATCAGATTATTTTAAAACGTAAAAAAAGGAATTAATCGAAGATTAAAAATTATTCATTGATGTTTCCCTCTTCCTTCTTTTAATTCTCTTCAAGTCATTATCAATATTTATAAAACATCTATGAGTATATGAAGTTTAATAAATTCGATTTCTTCATTTTTACGACAAATAGATAAGCGCGCGCACAGATCTAGTAAGTCAAAAACATTATCGAAATACAGAGGAGGTGATTATAATCAACTGTTGGATAATAATCAACTTACTCATCTTCATTATGCAACCTTGAAGAACAATCCAAGTGCCTTGCGATCGAAAATTACAAGTGAGAAATTGCTCTTGTATTGGATATAGTAGAGTTATTTTTGCTAATAAATTAGCAATATGTACCCGAACGGTTATTTTGCACATCTTTTCCTTCTCTCATGCATAATTCAGTAGCAAAGTGGTCAAACGATTTAAGTCAATTCAGTCTGCAGTTGAATTTTTCAGAAATTTTCCGAATTTACGGGAGATAGCGAAATTTTCATAATAACCTTTTTTGTAGAGCGAATCTAGTGCTACCAAAAAGGTTATGAGAAAAATTTTGCTATCCCTTTTAAATTTCAAGATATTCATTGAAAACTGGCCAAAAGCCAAAATCGACTTAAATCGTCTGACCACTTCGCTACTGAATTCATTGTTTATTTCTTTTTATTAAATTGAATAAGATTTCTTTTCAATTGATGTTCTCAGATTTTTAACGTAGTTGAATGTTATCATCATCGTTATTCTCATTATCCCTTTCTTCTATACAGCTGATTGTCTTTTTTAGAGTTCTATTTCCCCTCTCAGCACTTCGATAAAATGTTAATAGAAAAATTTTATTTATACATACTTGAATGAATTTCAAACATCACATTTCAAGAAACCACCAGAAAGCTCACTTTCAGGGAAATTCATGAAAAATTCGAAATTTTCAACAATCATAAAAGTCAAATCAACCAATATAGCTAATGTAAACATCTTTTAACTTGAACTTAATGGCATTAAAACAAACATTTTAAGCTATGATTGAATTCATTTGAAGCATGATATACAAAGATATCCCCGGAATTCTGATTTTTGAGAGGCCCTGGACTATTTTTAACATTTTAAGCATCTGTGAGGCAAACGAACAATAATCAATTGATTTTTTTGCACTAATATTCATTCTTCGCACTACGAATTCATTTTTAGACATATAAATCGTTCTTCAATGTATGAGAAATCGCACGCCAATAGCCCGCGCCTTTTAAAACTCATAGTAGTCTCCCCTACGCCATCATCCAATCAATTCAGAACATTTTTATTAGTTATCGTGGGATAACCGATTTTCGAAAAAATTAAAATTAGAATTAAAAAAGCTAATCGATGGATTAAATTTTAATTAATGGCTCAACATAAATGGGGCTCAACAATACCTACATTTGAACAAAAAGATTCAATTACATCCATTCATTAGCGAACAATTGAAGAATAGTATAGTGCATCAAGGGCGGAAAGTCATGTTTTCCCGCCTAAGGTGCACATGCTATTTTCCGCCCCGGCGGGCGCAAAGTTACATTTCCCTCCCCCTTCGCGGGAGGGAACTCTGACTTTGCGCCTACGCCGAGACGGAAAATCGCGTTCTAACCACGGGAAGTAAAATAAAGGACCCTCAGCCGCGTGCTTACCAACCTCGCCTTCGGCTCGGCTGGTAATTGCACTGGCGGCTGAGGATCCTTTATTTTCCCTCCCTAGGTTAGAAATATACTATTTTAACACGCCTGCAAAAGAAAGTTCGCATTTTCCTCTTTGATGAGCGGGAAGAAAATACTTCCCGCCTTCGGGTGGAAAGTATTCACTTTCCTCCCACTCATCAGGGAGAAAAGTACGAACTTTACGTGCAGGTGTGTGAAAAAAACTTTGTTACGTGGATTCTAGGACAGTTTTTCCCCGGACAAAATTTCCCCGGACAAAATCTCCCCGAAAAAGAATTTCCCCGGATAAAATCTCCCTGAAAAACGAATTTGCGATTAGGAAACCGGATCCGGCCAAAATAAATATAACGATAATGCTCAATTAAAGGGCTTTTTATTACTGAATCGCACAATAGAACACATGAAATTATCGAGTCTTTAGCCTCAATGAAATTACAAAAGAATTAAATTCATACGGATTGTTATTTGCGGAAAATTTACCCCTCAGAAGACTCGTTAAAAGGAATTTTTTCGAGGAAATTTCGCAAAAAGCAATTGTCCGGGGAAATTTTTTTCAGGGAGATTTTGTCCGTGAAATTTTGTTCGGGGAAAAACTGTCCGACTACCCATACGTGCGCACATGCACACACGTACCGACGAGGTCTAAAATTTCATTTTCAGACCTTTTGGATCATACTGGATCGATATAATATAAAAAATGTAATAGTATATTGTGCCCCTAGGGATTAAAAGTATTTCTGACGAACGTGACGTTATAACCCGAGCCGAAGGCTCGGCTCGGGTTATAACGTCACATTCGTCAGAAAATACTTTTACTGCCGTGTGGCACACGATATTTTATGCCTCGAGGACTGAAAACCGCGATTTAACCGAGCGAAGCGAGGTTAGAATCGCGGTTTTCCGTCCCTAGAGGCATAAATTTAATTTGTATCCCAAGACAATCGGACCCAAAAGTTACTCCCTATGGATCAGGGATCCCCATCAATATTTCATTTCTTTAATATTTCAAGAATTTGGCCCTTACATTAATGAAAATTTAAAATAGATTGATTAAATTTTTGCAAATAATATAATATTAATAATCTGATTTTTTACTAATAATGATGTATTTAAAATTTGTTAATATGAAACTGTAAATTTAATACTAAGTGAATAATTCAAATTTCTTGAAAGGAGATTTTCGATTACACAAATAATCATCAATCTTCCTACCTCGCTTTCTACCTCAATTATGGATTGATAAAATAGTTGAAAATTTGAATATTTAAATTGATGATACTTGAGTACTCAAAAAAAAATCACGAGTGATGTTATCTAATTAACGGCTACAATATTTAACCGTAATAAAATATTACAAATTTGGCTATCCCTGCTATGGATTTCCAGAAAAAATTCTAAATAACTTAATTCATAGGGACAATCTTAAGAAAAACATGTTTTCTAGAAATATACCCCAAATTTGAACGATTCCAAAGCTTCCATTCGGAGGCAAAAATAACATTCCACTTTACGAGAAAATCAAACTTTTAAATATTCCCTAACTGAAATGAAAGATGATGAAAAATCTATGAGGAAATCGAGGAAAGAAAATGAAGTCGCAGTTGAAAAAATATCAAAAGTTATCGTTATTTTGCAAGAGCACGTGTCTAGTGCTGTCACAAGTGACTCTGCAGTTATGGTTCCTAGCGAGGGGATCTCCACACCGATCATTTCATTAACAACAATTAACTGAATAATTCGACACAACAACAAATAGACTCAATTTTAACGTCAACATTTCCCCGAGAATTTGCAAAATTTTCGATCGATTATTTTTGAGTTATTGAGCCTGCCCGAGTTATTTGCAGCGAGACATAAAAATGATTTGATCAATCTAGAGTTGTGGAGGGGGAAATCGACAGCTCTCCCACTCCTCGGTAGCAGTAGCACGATGGCTTTGCGCTATTTTACAACCGGCAATAGAATTTTTGCAGCAGTTCAACTGCGGACGTCAATGCGATCGTTTCATTCGACTCATTTTCTCGATTATTGTCGCAATTATAACAGTAAAAATCATTTAATTATGAATAAATTGGAGCACGTCAAGTTCGCGTGGAAAAATGCCGACGTCGTTACGTTTGACGTTGACTCGACTGTCATTCAGGAAGAGGGCATTGATGAACTCGCTAATTTCTGTGGAAAGGGAAAGGAAGTCAGTGAGTTGTAAGTAGAAACTTTAACCATTTTATTATTTTTTCTCGCTTCTCTCGGCAATTTTTCATGCGAATGGGGCATCCACTTGGAAATAATGGGATTAGAGAGTAGAAAGGCCGTATGGCGTGCTCTTATGTCAGTGGAGAACAGTTAGGGGTCTCTATTTGCTGTTATCTAGATCGCTGCAAATTGATCGATTGATTGTGAGAATTTTTCGAACGCTGTAAACATGTTTGCTGGGGTCTTACGACATTTGCGATGTGAAGTGTAATTAATTCGATGGCATTGAAATTTTCTTCTCCTTGAAATTGGTTTTTATCTCGAGGAAAACATTTTAACAAACCATTTTTTGATCTCATCTTTGTTGAGGGACTTGTGTTGAATTGTTTATTTCTCAGAATGAAAACAAACAAAAATGAAATAAGACGATTCTAATTAAAAATTTTTCGATATTTTTGTTGTTTTTTGGAAAGTTTAAAAAAAACGAAAACATTGATTCGAATTTTTCTAGGAAAAAATTAATTTGATCCGTTTTTTAGTAAAAAAAAGGTTGGAAAATGTAACATGAAAAAGGAAGAAATTTTGTTTATATTGTGAAGAGTTTTACGTTAGTTGTGAGAGATTACATAAGACTTCATACAATGGTTCCATTAATTATATGAATCGCTGGGGTCTTACGACTTTCTCGAGGGGATCCCTTTCAATTTAGTGGGATCGGAATAACGTTCAGTAGCGAAGCGGTATAACGGTTCAAGTCGATTTTGACTATTGGCCAGTTTTCAACGAATTCCTCAGAATCTAAGGCAGATAGAACAATTTTTGTTAAAATCTTTTTTGTAGCTCTCAATTCGTTCTATGAAAAAGATTTTAACGAAAATTTCGTTATCTCCCTTAGATTGGAAGATATTCCTAAAAAAATCAGCTGAGGGCTCAATTGACTTGAACCATTTTATCGCTTCACTGCTGCATTCTTCTAATAATGTTTCTCATCCGGAGGAGAATTTTTTTATTGAATTTTGTGATTTTCAAAACGGATGGAATCGCACGTGTGCAAAAATCGAGATATTAACTTGTTTATTGAATTTGTTTATTTCTAGGAACGGAGTTCAGGTTGAATTCAACAGCATTTTTGTATTTGATTGTTTTCTGTTTCCTTGTTCATCATGATTTTATCATTTTTGTTCATTAATTAACTTTCTTTGAAGAGTAAAACTAAAGATTTTTGTCGACTTCGACAGAGAAGTGATGTGATGAGCCAAATACAACAAAAATATCCACTTCGGTACTGAGTTATTTTGGACATTTTAATTGCTATAGTTGTTATGACTGACATTATTCGCGAATTTTTTAAAAATAGTTTTAGGAGGAAATTTTCGATATAACATTCCATATAGGAGAGAGTTCAATCAAAACATATAAACACGTTCATATAAAGTTTTCGAGATATTCCCGTCTTTTGCCGTTTTTTCATAAAAAAAACTTTGCAATCACTCTAGCGTGTGCAAAAATCGAGATATTAACTTGTTTATTGAATTTGTTTATTTCTAGGAACGGAGTTCAAGTTGAATTCAACAGCATTTTTGTATTTGATTGTTTTATGTTTTCTTGTTCACCCTGATTTTATCATTTTTGTTCATTAATCAACTTTTTTTGAAGAGTAAAACTAAAGATTTTTGTCGACTTCGACAGAGAAATGATGTGATGAGCCAAATACAACAAAAATATCCACTTCGGTACTGAGTTATTTTGGACATTATTTTAATTGCCCGAGTGGTTACGAGTGGCATCATTCGCGAGTTTTCTAAAAACAGTTTTAGAAGGTAATTTTTGCTATAACATTCCACATAGGAGACTGGTGAAATATAGACACTTGATTCTTTCTAGAAATGTTCCTAATTCCCCCCCCCCCCCCCTTCCCCACTTTCTCGAGGGAATTCCTTTCAACTTGATGCGATCGGAATGACCGCTCTTAGAATGATGTTTCTCATCCGAAGTAGAATTTTTTAATTGAATTTTTCGGTTTTTCAAAGCAGAGTTCTGGATAAATCAACAACATCTTTTGTATTTCATTGTTTTACGTCTTCTTGTTCATCATGATTCAATCATTCTTATTCATTAAGGGGAGATTGATTATGTGTGTCTAAAAACGAATAATTAGTGCAAAAAAACTAATGGTTTATTGTTCGTTTACCCTGCAAACGCTCAAAACGTTAAAAATAGTCCAGGGCCTCCAATTTTTGAGCTACAGAGCTTTTCTATTGTTTCAAAATTTTTGGCAAAATATGTGCAATAACAATTACGAATTCGTTTTTTGAAATTCAGCTCCTACACCGCTAATTTCGTTATTATTTTAATAAAAAGTTGCACCATTCATGTAAAATAGCCCGAAAAATATTTCCGAAAGATTCGAGAATATATTTTAAATATTTCAAGGATAATTTTTCTGCCCATTTTACATGAATGGGGCAAATTTTTTATACTAAACAAAACGAAATTATCTGTGTAGGAGATAAATTTCAAAAAACTAATTCGTAATTTTTATTGTAGACATTTTTTTGGAGGCTCTGGACTGTTTTTAACATTTTAAGCGTCGGCGGAGCAAACGAACAATAAACAATTAATTTTTTTGCACTAATTATTCGTTTTTCGACACATATAATCGATCGATTTCTTCAGTGCATGAGAAATCTCACTCCAATATCCCAAGAAGTTTACAACTCATAGTAGTCTCCCCTTAATTAACTTCTTTTGAGGAGTAAAAATTTAGATTTTTGTCCACTTCGACTGAGACGGAACGTGATGAGCCAAATACATAAAAAGTATCCACTTCGGTACTGAATTATTTTGCACATCATTTTAATTGTTGTACTAGAAATGTAATTTTTAGTACGACATTTCACAGATGAGAATGATTAAATATGGACACTTTTGATATTTTTTTGGAAATGTTGATAATTCATTGAACGGTTGATAAAGGGGGATTATTTTTTTCCTCGTAAAGTGCAATTCTGTCTCTTTGCACTGAGAGAAATGTTCAGTAAAAATTATGGAACTCACAGTTCGCTCAGCGATTACGAAATCGACTCAGAAAATTTAAGTGACGTATCGTAATTTTTCACAGGAGATTCAGGTAAAAATTACGGAACGCTCTGAAAAAATTCCGTGATTTTAGGTAAAAATTACGTGACAGTTCCGTAAAATTTCCGACAACCACATTTCACTCCGGAATTATGGAAAAGATATGTACTCTCCGTATGTAATGATGTGCCCAGACTGAGCTGATTTTATAAATTTATTTCGAAGATAGAAACTTTAAAAAAAACAAGCAGGGGACAGCGAGCATATGACAGCGCGCCATATGACAGCGAGCATATGTCTAAGTGATTTCTTATTTGTTTTCGCTATCAATACATTGACGGCGGGCTTCCGAATGGTCTGAAATATTACAAAAATTTATAGTTTTACAACACTAACTAGCAGTAAAAATTTCAGATATTGACTGCTACTTCCATGTGTGCTATGAAAACTCTAATGTTTCGAAAACTTCGTATGAACGGATATGCATATTTTCCGTCAAAATTTCAAGTTTATATCTCGATTTTTGCGTAACCTAACGTGATTACAAAGTTTTTTTAATGAAAAACAGAAAAACGGGAATATCTCGGAAACTTTGTATAAACGGGTACAAATCAGTAGTGAAGTGGTAGACGGAGATGAGTCGACTCATCTCCCAGTTGAGTTTTTGAGAAGTATTTCCAAATCTAAGAGAGATAGAGAAATTTTCGTAATCACATTTATTGTAGCGCGCAATCGGCTCCACAAAAAAGTTTATAACAAAAATTTTGCTATCTCCTTTAGATTCCGAGATATTGATTGAAAACTGGCCAATAGTCAAAATTGACTCATCTTCTTTTACCACTTCGCTACTGATATGTTTTGATTGATTTAGGTAGAAATCGGTCGAAATCGGTCCACTAGTTTTGAAGATTTTTTTCAAAATTTATTGTAGCATCAACCCTGATGGGTTATTTACAAAACAAAAAAAATGGTACAAAATATCTTTTGTCTAATACTAACTACTTGGGTCTAGGTAAACTTTTAACATTCAGATTTTTATCTTACATCTTTTAACAAATTGATGAATGATTTCCAGTGGTTCTAAATTTTTGGCTACTAGGAATGCAGCTATGGTGAAAGGTCTAGGACAACTATGTTTGATTAATTTTTCTTTCATTTCTTCTCGTTGTAGCTCGGAATATTCTGGACATTCCTACAGGACATGATTAATGTCCTGCACTTCCGTACCACAGCTGCACCCCTTTGTGTCCACAAATTCTACTCTCTCCAATGATTTATTCAAATGATAGTGGTCAGTACCCGCCCTGTTAACCCACACAACTAGTTCCCTAGGGAGCTTGGCCCGATGATACCAGGGTCGAGTACAGTTCTTCCAATAAGTTTTGAAGATATTTGCGGAAAACGATTCTAAAACGAATTGCTTTTTCCCAAAAGCTAGTAGATCGATCGGTCTGGAATTTTGCACGGAGCTAGTCCTCATTAAGACCTATAATCTGACAAAATTTCAGATTTTAGGGAATTACTTTAGTCACTTAATTACTCAATTTTAAAGAATGTGAAAATTGGACGATTACAATATGTTTCCATTCGGAAGCAAAAAGAACCCATTCAGAAACAAATTCCTAATTCATTAGCAATAATCATTATACTCATTCATTTGAAAAATGCACTTGTCCACGTGCAAAAAATTTCATGACATTTCTTCTCCAATTTTTTTCCATGTTTTTACAGAACGAAAAGAGCGATGCAGGGAAACATGACGTTTCAACAATCATTAACCGTGAGATTAAACATAATTAAACCAAGCTCGGAGCAGATCAAGGAGTTTATCAAGACACATCCACCTACACTGACTCCTGGAATCAAGTAAGTTTATTTTTTTCGCCTTCGCATCAATAAAAATTAAATTGTTGACAATTAAACCTTTTCAATTGGAGGATTCGTGTCGTTTTCACTTGAGTCTCACGCCCGGAATGAAGTATGGAATGTGTGGAATTCTAATTTTTACTTCCAATTACTTGTAAATTGCAGAGAGCTCATAGATGCACTTCACGCGAAAAATAAAGAAGTTTACCTAGTTTCCGGTGGCTTTCGCTGCCTTATATCACCGGTTGCCAGACGATTAAATATATCTCAGGATCACATACACGCAAATAGACTTAAATTCTATTTTAATGGTGAGTAATTTTGATTAGTTGATTTTATGTTGTACTTCATGCATTAAAATGTCAAGTTTCACACTCTCATGAAATTCGTTTTGAAAATAGTTAATTTGGGAAAAAATGGTGGAGGAAATTGAATTCCTCGTAGGAAATTATTTTCTCCCGAAATGAATAATTATTGAGCCAACTAAAAAGATAACGAGAGTGAATCCGTCAATTTTATGGATTTTTCGGTTGATTCCAATGTTTCAAAAAAGGAGCAATTCAAGAGAAAAACCCATTCTTAAATGAAATTTCATAGATCGTTTGGACTAGGGGGAAAATCATAAAATCTCAAATTTTTGAGCAACAGAAGGACCAGAATTTCCCAACTTGGTTGAATTTTCAATCGAAATATGAATATTCGGTACCAAATTGAGTTGTATCTTGAATCAGTTGAAAATTTTTATATTCAAATTCAAACATTAAAGGTTCAAGTTTCACACTTTCATGAAGTTAATTTTGAAATTAGTTAATTTGGGAAAAAATAGTAGAGGAAATTGAATTCCTCATGGGAAATTATTTTCTCCTGAACTGAATAATTATGAAGCCAACTAAAAAGATAATGAGAGTGAATCCGTCGATTTTATGAATTTTTTTTTCAATTCCAATGTTTCAAAAAAGGACAATTTTAGGAGAAATTATCATTCTGAAATGAAATTTCATAGACCGTTTGGACTAGGGGGAAAATCATAAAATTTCAAATTTTTGAGCAACAGATAGACGAATTTTCCAATTCGGTTGAATTTTCAATCGAAACATGAATATTCAGTACCAAATTAAACTGTATCTTCAATTAATTGAAAATTTGTATATTGTACTTCAAGCATTAAAATTTCAAATTTCACACTCTCAGGAAGTTCATTTTGAAAATAGTTAATTTGGAAAAGACATAGTAGAAGAAATTGAATTCGTCATAGAAAATTGTTTTCTCCTGAATTCAATAATTCAATAATTATTGAACCAACTAAAAAGATATTGACAGTGAATCCGTCGATTTTATTAATTTTTCTTTTGATTCCCATGGGTCAAAAGAGGAGGGATTCAAGAGAAATGATCACATTCTTAGAAAAAAATAATTACATCGTGAGTATCCTATTTTGTGATAAAACGACATTAAAAAATATCTCGAAGCACAAAATTATATTTGAATTGGACAGTCCAACCTTTTAAATAATTTTTTCATCCGTTTAGTCCGTTACCAGTTGATAGTTGCTAAACGAGTGTAGGATCAATGCCATTTTCATTGTACCCATTCTTTTAATTGCCGATATTTCAGTGAAATATGAGGATATTACTATAATTTATGCACTTTTATGAAGTTTTTAACTATTCGAAACCTCAGTCAAGAGATTTTTAATCCCATTGTACTATTATAACGGAGATATCAACATTTAATAATTGTTTTTTAACTTGCGGCTTAAGAATGCACTCTGTCGTGGCACCAGTTGATGTGAATGGGATTTTTCTCTCTTATTACTCAATAAATCACTCTTTGGTGGCCGTTGGTGGCTTAATAAATTGTTGGAACTGTTAAAATCATTAAAATGTGATAGCTGGCAGCATCTGAACGAGCATAGGTGCATTTACGTTCGTTCAAGGTATATCCCAACACAATCGGACCTAAAAGTTAGTCCCTATGGATTTCCGTAAAAATGCTAAATAACTTAATTTATTGCATTCTCATAAGTTGAGTTTTTCTATTCTCATGTGTTGTTGATGTAGGCAACAATAACTGTCCAACTCAAATAAGACATTATTTGTTAATTAATTTTGTGAATTAAATGTGGAATGCTGTCACGTCATTTTCATTTTTTAGAGTTGAGTATCGCAGAAACTATGCAGTACAAAAATTTACAAAAAATTCACTGTTTTCGAAATTTATCAATCTGTCACCGATGAGTTTTTTAAGAACATCGTAAGAACTGTTTTCTCATAAGATGGAAAAATCGAGTTCGACTCATAACTCCCGTTTGGCTTATGCTAAACTGTGTAGTACAGCTAGTTAGCATTTTTTTCAATAGCTGGGGACTATTATAAACATTATTTATAAAAAAAATGGAAACAATCTTGAGAAAAACGTATTTTTAAGGGGTAACAGAAGAGCATCGTTTCCTCGAAATTTTCGAACAAATTTCCTGCCCAAAGTTATTAATATTTTTCGAAACCAAAGTATACTGATATTCATCATCACCTCCTGGAGGTCAATGTGCTTTAATTTGTAAAAAGATCGATAACTTTGGGCAGGAAATTTGGTCAAAAATTTGGAAAATTAGCGGTATTCTGTTATCCCTTGAATCAGCTCTACCCTTCGGCGAGGCTACGCTGCACTTTTGGATATTTTCAGTTTTTAAATTTTTCAACTAAATTGCATGGAAAAAATTGGAAAAAATTCACACCCAGTCAGTATTATCTAAATTAAATTTCGCAAAATATTGATATTTTTTCAAACATTTCCCTCTTATAAATAAATAATGAAACTTTTTTGCAAAACGGCCGATTATTTTTTATAAGGTGTCAAAAAATTTCTTGATGTTTTTCACTTCTAATGAAAAGAAATTCAGATTTTAATCTTCGATTACAATGGAAATGTTGATTTTCACTTAAGACACTGGGTTAACTCCTGATTTTTAAACTTTTTTTCTTTGAAAAACCCAAACGATTATTAAATTGAGAAAAAAATTAGAATTCCGAATCTAATCGAGTTTTCTGCAATTGTTTTGCAGTTTTCAATAATCTTTGAATTTACCGTAAGGATAGAGCTACTTTAAGAACATCTCTACTGAATTCACAGTCGTGAGTCGTGATTCTGGTCATCTCCAGCCATTCCCTCTGATTAGCAACGTTTCTTCATTTACCAATCAATTCATCGTAATTATTCCAGATATGATCTTTGTTATTTACTTTTATCATTTATCAAATTATATATCTATAATACTAGATACATCGCAATCATTTAATTTCATTTCATAGTCAATAATCAAGAAAAATTCATCCGGGGTAATTTTCGGACAAGAGATTTTTTTCTGAAATGAAATTTAGCCGGAAAAAAATGCTCGAATCACCCAGTCACAAATTTTGTGGCTCTCAAATTTCGATAAACAGAATGCAGAATGAAGCGGCGTTTTATTATCGAATTCACGCGAATCTTCGTGGGATCCCCACTTATGTAACCAATAATTGCGTTATTCCCATTAAGATAGAGCCAGAGTTTTTTTTCACTTATTCATTAAGCCAGAATCCTTGATTGAAAAATTGGGTGATTCCCCGAAATTCGGGGGGCACAATTTATCGGAATCTCGTGGCTCAATTTTGGCACACGTGCGTTCCGATAAGAGGCGCAAGTATTTTCCATAATCGAGTTCGTTATCTATTTCCTGATAACTTGTAATTAAGATATAGATGTGATCGACTTACCCGGGGGAATTTATGATAAGTGGAGTCTAGAGATTGAGTCTCTTGACCTTCCTCATTCGTTGAGAGTTCAAGAAATTTACCGATTATGATAATTATTAGAATCGAGAAGTGAGTTAGGAAGTTTCAAGCATATTATTTTGGAGATATCTCTGGATTTGGTAAGTTAGGAGGAACATGTCGAGAAATTTCTCCTGAACTCGATAATTATTGGCACAACGGATCTTTTCATTTAGGAAATTTAGAGGAAATATCAATTCCGTTCATCGAACTAAGAAATCTCAAGGAAAATACTGGAGAATATAATAAATATTTCTCTATTCTGTGTTGAAAATTGTTGGCTTTAGCAAAGGACAGTTTCACTGAAATTTCAAGAGATTTCATCATTAAAAATCTACAATTTGACGGAAAAATCTGTGGAAACTGTGAATTTCTGTTCAATTAAAGCCAAACACAAACACTCGTTCCACTTTTTCCTATTCTCCCCTACTACTAAGGGATTATTACCATGTTAATTCGCTGAAAGGGTCCAGAATTCCTAAAGGAATAACCATGGACAAATTTCGTCACTCTCAAAACGAAAAGATCTACGAATTGAATAGTTTAGAAAAATCAAATTGATTCAATTTTGGGTAAAATACCAAGAAACATTTCTGTAGGGAACGAAATTTCCGAAAATGCTCCTGTATTCATGTGATATTCGCAAACTAGACTATAAATTTTTTTTCATCACGCTGTGTGTAAAGTGACATTTTACGCACGCTCCACGTGCGTAAAACCCCACTTCCCACACATGGTGATGAAAAATAGGGTTCGATACTCGCGGAAAAAATGTTTTAGACTCGTGGGATTATATCACTCGCCCTCGACCTGTGCTATAAACCTCCCACGAACCCAAAAACACTTTTTCTGTACTGCTTCTCACGATTTCTCGTCTGGGAATTGGTATTACATACTTCCCAAACTCGAAAACTTGAAAATCACTACAGAAAAATATTGTTCCTGGGCTGTTGCGATGGGGTTTTTTTACTCGTGTGGCGTTGGCCTCCGAGCCGTAGGCGAGGCCGGAAAAATACTATTCCGCAATCGTATCGAAATAGACTATAATTTCACTCCTTTATAGCTAAAGCTCAGGACCAGGAATGCGAAATATCACGCATCACTTTCGTATGACGGATCATGTCACACTTGCATCTCTAATTTCCGTCCGTCTCATGTCACATTATTTTTTCGCATCCCTGCTCTGAATGAAAAATTACTAACTTCCTTCCACAACGGAAATGGAGAAAATTTTTCTGTATTTTCTTCGAAGACTTTTAAATTTTGTTGTTCCTTCTCACCAGGTGAATATGCAGGATTTGACGAGAATGAACCGACATCGCGGAGTGGTGGAAAAGCAATCGTGATCAAACGATTACAAGAGAAACATGGATTTAATACAATTGTTCATGTCGGGGATGGTGCCACGGATATGGAGGCGTGCCCACCCGCTACAGCTTTCATTGGTGAGTTTCCATAATTTTTCAGCATTTTGGGAAAAAAACGTTACGAAACCTTAGGAATAAGACAAGGAATTACTCTGTAAAAGAAGTTTTTGGACAGTCTCTTGTAATTGAAAATTTTTGAGCAACAGGAAGATGAGAATTTCTAAAATTAATTGAATTTTCAATCAACACATGAATGTTCAGTACCAAATTCCAAGTTATTTTTACCTAAATTTTTCTGATTTTCATTCATTTTTACAGAATAATTGAACTGAAATCAACAGTTATTTTCCAGTTTCCATTGATTTTTTCATGCTGATATTTTTCAGTTCTGAGTTTTCAATAACGACGATTGCTTGGAATTTCAGTGGAACAAAATTGCTTGACAAAAATTTCCCAGAAGTGCACCGGAAATTTCAGTCGAAAAATTTTCGTAAAAAATTCTCATCTTCACAGAGAAGATTCTGTGATCAATTTTTCTAAACCTCTTCCTTTAGAATATATTTGTGATTTTATTCTTTTTATTTTACTCTCAATATTTTTTATTTTATTCTTGTGGTTAAAAATGGATGAAATTCTCGCCAGGGAAAGTAGCTTGCTTAGTAGCTTCCACCTTGCTTCACGAAGTTTTCGATGAGAATTCTATCTCTTTTCTGTATTATCTCCGGGCTATTTTACTCGGTCAAACCTTAGATGTTTTTTAAGGTACAAATTACATGGAAAGCAGAATGCTATATGCTATCTTTCAACTTTCCGAACCTCTATACGAAGGAAACAATTAAATAATTAACAATGCACAAATTAAAAAATTCGGAGGCACACGGACTCGAACTCAGGTGGGGGATGATCCCACATCTCCAGTTTGCCGGACTGGTGCTCTGCCAATTGAATTCGGTGCGCCTTCGAATTTTTTAATTTGTACATTAACTATTTAAGGCCCGGGTGTACTATCTTTCGAATGTCAACTGGATTTTTTTTGTCTTTCGTAATCCAAAATTGTCAATTGAGTGGTACTTCATGTAGAAATTCCCAAAAATTATGATAGAATGATAAAAAAAATTGAAAAAATTCTGAACTTTTTCAAAGAGCGTTTTTAATTGAGATTCAGAATGAGTTGAAAAAAGGGGAAATTACAAATATCTGATTCGGTGTGGCAAATTATCTATTAGCTGTCATTTTCCATGGTGGATAACAAAACACTAACTCCTCATGGGAAGTGACAGCTAGGTATCTCAATTCTCAAAACAGTGGTATGTAGCCATCTGCCATTTTTATGTGATAAAAGTGTGATTAAAAAATTCTCCAAAATATTACAACTTTTTTCAGAGAGCCTTTTCCGTAATAAATGTCTCCGTGCAATGTGGGAAAAAATTTACGAAATCAGTCTTCCCCCTGCATGATATTGGGTGACAGGCCACCATTTGTCACCGTAAATCAGATACATTTTTCAATTTCTTGTTATTCAACTTATTCTGAATATAAATGAAAAATGCTCTTTGAAAAAATTAAGAATTTCTTCTATTTTTTTTTTATTATTCATTCATAATTTTTCAAAACTTCTGCATGATGCAGGACTTAATTGACAATTTCAGATGACGGAAGATGAATAAAAACATCGAAAGATAGTACACCCGGGCCTTAATTGTTTCCTTCGTATAGAGGTTTGGAAAGTCGAAAGATAGCATATAGCATCTTGCTTTCCATGTAATTTGTACCTTAAAAAACATCTAAAGTTTGATCGAGTAAAATAGTCCGGGGATAATACAGAATATTAATATACCGGTCGAAATAACATCTCTCATTGGAGTCTATCTCTGTTCCTTCCAATGATTTTTAACAAAAATGTAAAAAAAATACAAAACTAATTGGAGGAAATCTTAGAATACGTTCCTTGTCGAAAATTCGATTTCTTGAAAAACAACGTTTTATGATATTTTTTCATCTCCAACTGAAACCGAAAAACAGGAAATTAAATGGTATTCTTATCTTTGAAAAACAGGATTTGGTGGTAACGTTGTCAGAGAGAGTGTGAAAACAAATTCCCTGTGGTTCGTCGAAGACTTCCAGGAGCTGATAGATGCCCTGGATTAACCCCCACTTCATCGAGATTCACTAGAACCTCGAGAAATCTTTCATTTAAGTATTAAAAACAAATGAAATTTTGTTTGTACTCGAAAACGACAAGATATTAATCTTATCATTCCTGACGGCCAAAAGGTGACGCAAGATATCAAGGATTAATATTAAATATTTCAATTTTATATCTAGAACAATGAAAAATAATTTTTAAAAATCAATTCATTAAGACAAAGTGAGAGAAAATGAAAAACTTCGGATTTGTTTTTTCTTTCATCGAATCATTTTCTTTACTTAAAAAGATTTATAACACATTTTTATGATACACAAACGTTGCATAACTAATATTAATATTTCACAATTATCAAATTGCGAAACGAAACGATTTTTAAACCAATTTTTACTGTACATATACATCATATCATCATAGGTTTGATAAATTTACAGAACGTTGATTATTTCTATTGCATGTCGATAAATTGTCAAGAGGCTGAATGTATAATTGAAGGTTTGAAATTGTTCCATGTAAAAGTGAAAGCAACTTTTCTGACCTGGTGGAATAACTAATTGATACTTGAGATTGATAAAATAAAAAATCTTTCAACTAAACCGTTAATCATGTTAAAACTGCTGTTTCTTCTTACGGATAATTGTGCCATCGAGCAATTACAAACAATGAATTTCGTCAATTGTTCGACTTTCGGAATGTTTTAGGAATGAAAAGAAATTTTTCTAATGTATCATTCACCCGGATTATATGACATTAATCAAATTAACATAAAAAGGAACTGAATTAACAAATTAAATATTCTTTTCTGCGTTTTTTGCTGCTTAAAAAATCGTGAATTTAGTGTTGAAAATGATGAATGGATTTCTTGTGTTTCGGTTTCTCAATGGCACATTTAGACAGTCCCCCTCCCTCCTCTCTAAAATTGAAAAATATTACGAAGAATAAATAGAAACGCATATGGAAAAATTTTGCAGAACCCAGCGCTTGCTATGAGAGATGCTATTGAATTTTTATTAGATTACATTATTTCTACTGAAGATTATGTAGCTTCATTGTGTAATTTTTTCATAGATATTTAATTGAAAAAAGTAAATATTTTTTAGTGATTTCTGTCGATCTTTATTTTTCTATAGAAACTTTTGGGCATAAATTATCCAAGTTTTTCCCCCTCTGTATCTCATTATGAAATCCAAGAAAAAAAAATTGGAATAATCATGCTCAAGAATTTTTGTAGGAAAATCAAGATTAGAATCAAATAGAATTGGTGCAGAAAACAAATACTATCCTTCGATAAAATTCTAATAGAAAAGCAAATTCAATAGATTTTCTTAGAGAAAACATTAGGTTTTTCTTTCAAATTTTTCCAAACGTGAAAATTTATTCCACAATTCTTCGAACATACATGAAAAAAAAATTAACGGAAGAACCCAGCGCTTGCTATAAGAGATTCTATTAAATTGCTATTAGATTCCACTAATTCTATTAGTTTTATTTTATTGGAGATTATGCAAATTTATTGTGCCATTTTTTCATAGATATTCAATTAAAAAAAGTAAGTATTTTTTTAGTGACTTCTGTCGATTTTCATTTTTCTATAGAAATTTTTGGGTATAAATTATCCAAGTTTTTTCTCTCCGTTTCTGATTATAAAAACCAAGAAAAAAAAATTGGAAAAATCATGCCCAAGAATTTTTGCAGAACACTCAACATTTATAAACAAAGCCTAGTTTCCAATAGAATTGGTGCAGGAAACAAATACTATTCTTCGATAAAACTCAAATAGAAAAATGAATTCAATAGAATTTCTTAGAGAAAACACTAGGTTTTTCTTTCAAACTTTTCCAAACGTGTAAATCTATTCCATCAATTCACAATTCTTCATTAATGGTCGTTTCCCCATTTTCATGAATTTGAAAAGATCTCAAGTAATTTTAAAATAAAATCGAATGTAGACTCATGACAATAGCATCGACGATGGTTTTTTCTCAATTGTGCCATTGAAAAATCCTTCCATCAATTATTTTTTTGTTATTTATGTGTCTTCAAATATTTTCAAAAATAAACCCATTCGTTAAAAAATGATAGAAACCAATGGAATTAATTAATAAATCGAAAATGAATGGTTTTGCATCGGTTTTCAATGGCACATTCGAACGTCCCTTCTCCCCTCCCACGATTTAAAAAATCAATTCCCTTAGAAAATCATTTACTGACGTTTTCTAGTCATCTTTGTACACTAGAAAGGAACTTACGACGATCTTGACTGTTTTTTCGATGCAATCCACTCTTGTATTTTATTTTTGAGGTCTGTGTCGGATTTCACGAGGTCCATGGTCAGTGGTGAACGATTAAATGGATCAGTTTGGTCGCTCAACAAATGCCTGGCTATTGTTTGACGATCTACCGATATCTTTGAAGAGGGTAGAATCACTGGATCTGTCATTAGGGTCGACATAATTGGGTCCAAAAATTCGTCTGGCGCGTCGGTCAGTATCTCCTCCTCCTCTCGTTTTATGTGGGCTGCCTCTGCCACGCGTTTTGAGAAATTCTCAAGGTCACCCAGAATACCCACTCCGCCAATTCGAACTGAAATTTTTTTTGTTAAACTCGTTAGAAAATGCCACTTCCAAAAAAGACATGAATTATTTTTGCTTCCGAATGGAAGCTCTGTAATCATGATTTTTTTCGATTTCCTAATTTTCGGTGGAAATGCCTAGAAATGTCATGAAACGGGAAGAAATGATGTTTTTAAAAAATGTCTGTATGTGTGTAGGCATGTGTGTGCACATTCATGTCCGGTTGTGCAGAACTGTCCCTATAACTCGAGACCGATGAAAGCAAAGACGCTGAAATTCTGGCTGCTAATTGGTACTACTGATAGCCAAATTTGTGCTAAATTTCAGCTCGATCGGTTGAGCGGTTTCTGAGATATAGCGATTCCTCAAAAATGTTTTTTTTCCGATATCTCCTTAACAATGCGACGGATTCCAATTTTTTTTCAAACTACTCGTCATGATGATAGCTATTCAATTGGATCGAAAAAAGACCATTCCACCCCGAGCAATGTAGTTTTATCCTCGTTTTTTCGTTTTTTCACTGAAATTGCTTGCATGCATGATAACTTAAAAAATAATTGAGTTAGAAACTTGAAAATTGGTATGATTTCAGGGCTTACGATAACAAAGTTTGACATTGTAGATGAACGGAATCGCACCATTAGTTTCGGAGATATTCAACTTTGTATGTGAAACTCTTTTGCTCAATATCTCAAAAACAAGTGATTTCCACTGGACCACTCGACTGGAAATTAAGGGGGTCTTCGCTTTTTCCTGGGTCGAAAAATCGATTTTTTTTACAATTTATCATTCTATTATTATTCTAAAATAATGTAGAAAAAGATTTTTTCTGAAATTCCGAATATTGACGGAGTAATAGAGCCCCAAAGCCGAGCGCGTACAGGTAGGCAGGTGCATTATGGTTGCAGCATAACAATAGAGTTTTTCAGCGGTCCCCCTCGGTTGGGGACGTGCTAGATTGGATAATAGGGGAGGGGAGCTCCTCTGGAAAACTGTTGATATTCGATAATCTTCATACCTGTGACCCTAAAATTTGTTTCCAATGAATTTTCCGGATAACTTGGTTTGGAATAGACTTCAGTCTATTCCGAACCCTCGAACAGGGTAGTTGATTTTTGTAGCATAACTCTCGAAACAATAATAGACAGAAAAGGATCCCGGTCAAGTCCCAATAATAATCCGCGAAGAAAAAAACGTAAATTCTGTGGTAATAAGTATACCAAAGTAGGTAACACATCATTCGCAAGTGCATCAGCAACTAAACTACGGAAGAGAGTCGCAGAAAAATTCGATATTACCGACAATAGCCATTATTGTCTCATTAACTTTATAACAGTTTTTTCCGCTATTAGTAGTGCAGTGATTTGCAAAGATTGTAAGGGTGACATGAACTTTTCGAAAGGTTCAACTCGTGGTTTGGGATTTCGTATTGTTTTGCAATGTCGATGTGGCAAAAAAGACGTACCTTCCAGCCCTATGATAGACAAAGCATATGAAATAAACCGTCGCATAATTTTTGTGTTTCGACTTCTTGGTGTGGGTTTGGAAGGTTTGAATCTTTTCGTTGGACTTATGAACTTAGGAGTGAGTGTCAGTAATACTTTATATTACTCGTGTTTGAAAATTATTCATGAAGCATCGGAGGGGATACACAAATATGTCACACGTGCGGCGATTGAAGAAGAACAAGAATTGAATGACGGAGATAATCATTTGACGGTATCAGGCGATGGAACGTGGAAAAAGAGAGGCTTCCAATCATTGTTTTGAGTTTTAAATCTGATTGGCCAACTGACAGGAAAAGTCGTTGATGTCGAAATAAAGTCGAGCTTCTGTCAAGGATGCAAAATGTTGAAAAAACTGGAGGAAAAGGAAATAACTCAAAGAGAATATGATGATTGGATGAAGGAACATGAAGAAGTTTACCCGCATAATCATAATGGAAGTTCTGGAAAAATGGAAGTTGACGCTATGGTTGATATGTTCAAAAGATCAGAAAAAAAATATGGAGTTCAATTCTGTCATAAACCAGCTCTTACCGATACAGTACTGGCTGCAATCAAACCCACATATGAAGATTTATCCAAAGATGAGTTATTGGTAAGGTGTCTAGGGGCGTACACGCAGAATAGTAATGAAAATTTGAATTCTTTGATCTGGACCTTCAGGCCTGAGCACCTGCATTCAGGGACGAAAATTGTGGAAATAGCAACATACCTGGCGGTTTGTATATTCAATGATGGATTTAGGTCAATTCAGAGAATGATGGAGCAAATGGGTATTCTAATGGGTCCCCGTTGTGACGGATACGTGGTTCGAAGGGATAAACAGAGAGTCGATCGCTCGGAGAGGCGTGTCTCTGACGCAGCAAGAATTGCACGAGTTGCCAAAAATGCCGAAAAATGTGCAAAACAGGATTTTTCGAAAAAGAAGAAGGGGCATTATATGGCGCAGGAATTGCTGATTAAGTGTAAGTATTTGATTTTGTTTTGTATCATAATATCTCCATGAATGGAGTACTGACCCGCCTCACCCGGAAGTGCAAAGGCGATTTTCTCGGAATTAAATTTCCAAGAATTTCCCAGAACTGTTCGATGGATATTTCAAAAAGATTATTCACCAATCAATTTGAAATTTTTACCACCTATTTGACATCTACAGATCTCTTGCTCTTAGAAACCTCAAAATAATAGCTTGAATATTTTTAATTTTTATATAAAATTTTCGTGTCGAATTTGCTCGAGAAAATTGGGCCTTATCCGGAAAGGCAAAATATTTCATCATTTTTTTCATTCATCCTATTTATTTCACTAAGGGACAGTGCCAGATGTTCGTTGAGTACTAAAATATAGAATTTTCTTATTTCAGATGTGTTGGAACCTCATCAGCCCCGGTACAATCATTAAATCAGAGTTGGGGCCCGTCAACTTCATCATCCAATCATTAATTCCAGATAGTCCGGGAAGAGGAAACGTTTTGTTATTTCACGAGTAGAAAGATAATAAAAAATTGTAACTTTGATTTTCGTGTGAAATAAAAATTGTGGAAAAGTGGGCATTTTCACCGCTCGGAAAAGCGCAGACCCTCTTAAGGAAGAAATCACCAGAAATAATTGGAAATCACTGGAAATCAAGTGATTTGCTAAGCAACCAGCCCCTCGGTTTAGAATAATCATCCTTACCACAAAATTTCCCAAAAAGATGACTTTAGGAAATTGATGTGAAAATAACGGAATTCTCCTTCAATTTTTTGGAGAAAATAAAGCGTGCAAACTAGATAGCATTAATATTTTAATTCGGAATCTCTTACCCAATACGTTATCAGCCAATTTGAATAAATCTGGTCGGTAGGATCTTCCATCCTGTGAAACAGCCAGTGTGAAATTCTCATTCTCCCCCAAATTGATGTAAATTTCGCAGATGTTCAGCACTAAATTTGCTGGGTTAAACTCATACTCCTTCTGGTCTTTCACCTGGAAACCAAGAAAATTGTGTAACCCTAAATTGTAGAACCCGGAATGCCGAATTTTCAGAGATGATTGAACATAATTATCCATACAAAAATCTATTTTCCCTCGGGGAGGCCCGGGCAAAGTGGAACGCTCTGTGTTCTTCTTTAAGGCGTTTCATTCGAGAAAGGTAATTAATTATATTTATTTTGAATTCATATAGGATGTTTAGAATCAATGTTGGATTCTCTATGAATTTTCCTACAATTTTTCTAGATTTCCTTTTCAAGTTATCGCGTAGATGGAAAAAGGTCATACAAACCTAATCTAGAGGAACATAAAATCTGGACGATTTTGACTCTCTAGAATCATTTTAACCCAATTTTTGACAACAGCTGAGTTTTCGAGGAATATCTCCAAATCTACGGGAGATAATTAAGTTTTTGTAATGACCTTTTTTTATAGAGCGAATTGAAAACTATAAAAAAGTTCATGGCAAAAATTTTGCCATTTCCTTCAGATTGCGAGATATTCATTGAAAACTGGCCAATAGTCAAAATGTACTTAAACCGTTTTACCGCTTCGCTACTAATTTGAATCTCGATACTGAACGGTTAGAAAGCTACTTTAAGCCTAAAAAAAATTCGAAAATCTACTTTTGGAAGATTTATGAAATAATTAAAAAATTGCAATGTTTGAAAATTACGAGCATTTTCTACAAATCTGTAGCGAAGTGGTAAAACGGTTTGAGTCGACTTATCTCCCAGTTGAGTTTTTGAGGAATGTTTCCGAATCTAAGGGAGATAGCGAAATTTTTGTAATTACATTTGATGTAGCACTCAATCAGCTTTACAAAAAAGGTTATAACAACAATTCTGCTATCTCCCTTAGATCCCGAGATATTCATTGAAAACTGATCGATAGTCAAAATTGACTTGTACCATTTTACCACTTCGCTACTGAAATTATTTATAAGCAATCACTTTTCCACCATAAAAATCATTTATTTGGATAAACACCGAATAATAATTCTGTGCAAAATGCAATTTGAATGACGCTAAATATTCACGATTATTTTCAAATTTATCTGACGCAATTTAATTGACAAATTTGATGATTGAATCTATAGTGTGGTCTGTACCAAACTATAGAAGATACTTTAATATCCCTAATCAGTATTTGCCCCTAAAAATTTCTCGAATCATCATCAGTCTCAACCCCCACCCCACCAACTGCAAGAAATATTAATTTTAACAAGTCTCTAACTACCTTCAAATTCCTTTTGTTAGGTCCCACCAGTTGCAGCAATAAATAATTCAGCATGGAGGCGATTCTGTCGACCATAGTACTGTGACAGAAGATGGATTTGATCTCACAAGTGAGCATCTTGAGCGTGGCAATGGTTTCCCTCCCCAAAATATTATCGAATCGTGCAGTCATGCCAATGTGTTGGAGATACCCAACTTGTTGATCCCTCTCGTGCTGTGGCAATTTGTCCCATTCCCCGTTCTCCCTCGCATTCAACATCGTCTTTAGCTTTGCCATGTTACTCAGCGCTTCGTCCAGCAGGAAAACAGCATCATTCATTAATAAATTAATAAACCTGAGGAAAAGTGGGGGCTGAACTGTCTCCATATTGTCCTCAGCCTCGATTGCCAATCTTTTGAAATTCCTTCTGTGCTCCTCTATTTTCCATAAATAATCCATCACAATGTACATTGGCCTGCGATAGTTGAACTTCTGCTCGAATTGGACACTCTGTCCTGTCATTTCTATACTAACAAACACCTGCAACAGAATAAATAAAAATCTCAACTGATGGTTCTAATGAAGATCAAATTAATGAGAAGACTGAAATGTTTTTGTTGATTAGAGACCATGAGGCTCTCTCAGGAGTATTGTTTATCATGGAGTACTGATAACAATAATAATTTTCTATTCCGTAGAAAAGAACCTGCAGCACTGAAAACTCTCAAAACTTGAAAAAATACCTGTAGCAAATTCCGGACAATTTCTTTTCTATGCGGATGTTGAACAAACAGCTGCTGCCTGTGGAATGTCCCGAGTGTCGCCTGCAGGTGATTATTGCCATCCTCTTGAGTCGGCAGAAGTGCCTCCAGCCCCTCAGCCAAATGCGCCCTCAAGTGCGGATTATAGAGCCTCTGTGGGGACTCCATCAGTCCCACAATTTCCGTCAGGATGGGCTCCAGAAAATCCGCGCCGTGTTCCTCGAAGGTATTTGGACTCAATCTCCTCAAGAAACACACGAACCTCATGGTGTTCTCCACCACGAACTCAGGGATACACTTCAAAGTGTCTGGAACAGTCTCAGGGAGTGGGAATGTGATTTTCAGGGGCTTCATCGGTGCGAATGTCCCCTGGTTTTCATCCAGGGCTAGATTGACGTTGACCTGCATGAGCCAGTGGGCAGTGGCAGCATGGAACTTGGCCAGGAGCTTCAGCATCTCTGGAGCAAGTAGGCTAGCTCTCAAGGACAGATACTTGGTCATCTCCATCTCCATTCGTTGAGTTATGACGTCGAAAACCTCTGAGGAGCCTCCAGACTGGGCGTCGTTGTAGACTCGCTGAATCCTGCTGAGGTCTTGGTTCGTCTTCATCAGCTTCTCCAGGACCACTCTGTACCCCAGGTCCAGGGAACAATGAGTCAGGAAGAAACACTCGGTGACGAAGGTGAAGGTCTTCGCTACTGGTCTGGTTTCGTTCTCCGAGGGGGGGATCAGGCAGGTCTCTCTGCTCATTCCCTCCATGTGGACTCCTCGAGTCTTTGAGTCCTCCTCGTTCAGAGGCTCAGCTGCACAATAGGTCGGGTCGATTTTCAGGATTTTTGGGTCGGTATATCTGAGGAAAAGAAAAGAGTGATTTTTAAATAAAGGAAAGTAGTTGAAGTAATCTGATTTTGAGATTTCGTTTTTGGGGGGGTTTGAGAATTTGAGGCAGGTGCAAGGGTTTTTGTGAAGCTCGAAAAGGTTCTCATGACCATTTGTCTGGTAAGTTAAGGAGTTTGTTAATATACAACGCACGACAAAAATTTAAGAATATAAAAGTATTTTTACAGTTTGGTACAGACGACACTATAGATTCAACCGTTTTCAGTCATCAAATTTGAGAGATTTCAATTGAATTGCGTGAGAAAAATTTGAAAAAAAAATCATGAATATTCAGCGTCATTCTAATTACATTCTACACTAATTATTATCATTGCTGGATTATTTTTTTAAACCATAAAGTGTGCATCATGGGATTTTTGGATGAAATAAATATACAATAATATTTAATTGTCACTTCACAGGGTTTCCCTTGTTATTTATGCCTCCTATTTTTGTAAACATTCGTTGCTTGTAAATAAATAATTGAAATTGTTTAAACTTTCGGATACCTTACTTTTTTGAGCATGAAATCGATTTGTGGCAAAATTTGGCATATGAATAAATTTGCTACGATTTCGTACAAGTGACTTTTATGGTGGAAAATTGATTGTTTATAAATTATTTATATAAAATGCTCGCAGTTTTCAAAAATTGCAATTTCCTAATTATTTCATCAATCTTCCTCCAAAAGTAGACTTTCTATTTTTTTTCAGATATTTAAATTGTTTCCGAACGGTTCAATATCAAAATTCAATTTCGGACCTGCAAAGTTTAAATGATATAAAATCATTGTAAAATGTCCGAAAATTTCGTGCCAAATGAGGTTCAAATGAAAGCTCTGATGTTCAACTACAAACATGGGAAAGCATTTCATTGGAGAAAAAACAGCCAAAGTATATTACAGTTTGGTACAGACCATATTATAGATTCAATCATTTTTAATCATCAAATTTGTCAATTCAATTGCGCGAGAAAAATTTGAAAAAAATCATGAATATTCAGTGTCATTCTAATTACCTTTTGCACAGAATAATTTTTTTAAACATTCGTTGGTTATAAATAACTAATTGAAATTGTTTTTCAATAAATACTAATAATAATAAATCATTTATGATTCTGCGTGCCCTAAATGATGTGTTACGCCAAAATACGCTAGTCAAACGACAGACTATTATTTTAAAAAATAATTAAAAGAAGAATCCGTCAGATCAATTTCTTCAACTCATCAAAGTTAGAATTCATGGAAAAAGTTATCAATGATGATTTTTTAAATTTTAGAATTCATTTTTCCTCGTTACACTCAACGATTCAACTTGGGTTTATTCGTACTCCTTTTACGCTAAACATCAAGTGTATCAAAAAATCTAGAGACTCCACTGTGTGACAGGTCATTTTCTCAAGACAATATTGTGCCTGTGAGAAAAAATCCCTGTTAACGTAATGTAATTGTATTGTTGATTTTATTAATTTCATTATTATACTTTATGTCTATTTGATTTTGATCCTGCAATTGGCCATGTGCTGTTGGAGCTGTCTCTCTATAGTGATGAAAATTTGGTACTTGAAATTAAGCGTTCACATTGAAGAGTGACAAGGGTCAAAATAAGGGTCACAAGAGGCAAAATAAGGATTATGGGGGTCATATGTGGGTCATATGGGGGTTGGCGAGCGGAGCGAGCAGGGGGTACGCCCCCTAGTATGAAATAATCAAATAAAAATGAAATGAGATGAAATGATGTCAAAGATTTTTGTTAATCCAATCGTTTCTCTTTCTACTTACTTCAAACAAAAAGGTTGACAGAGTCTCAGCAAAACATTTCCCAAATTCAGCATGAATCCATCAGAAGCAGTGAGAGCTCCCCCAACATTGCCCTGAGTATTCCAGATCTTCCCCCTAGCCGAATTGGCTTTTAAGCACCTGGCAATCCACTTTAGAGTCAAGTGCCTCGTCTCCGGTGAGCACTTCAGCAATGAATGAAAAATCTTGTGAAGATTCTCACTGAGAGCATCCAAGGCGGTCCAGATGTTTCCTTCAACGCTGCCAGGTTGTTGCACCAGTGGTTTATCGAAGAAGTCATAGGGACCACCGTAGCTCTTTGGCAAACAGCTCAGAGACAACAGGGCCCCGAAAATTGTGTCGGAAAAGGCAGAGCCGTGATCAGCGATCGGTGTGCAATGACGAATTAGTAGCTTAGCGAGGGATTCCACGTTTGAGAACACCTGGAGAACGTTGAACCAGTGCTGCCTGAAGACCAGAAGATTGGAATCAGCTGCTTCCTGATGGGGAAGGAGAGCAGAAATGGAATTGTTAATTTGTTGAATTTTTCAAGGTGGGGGTGACCCATTTTCAGTCGAACCAACAACTTTCCGACCAATTTCCTTTTCTTTATTCATCCACTTGAAAAAATGCAGTGTAACGATTTTTGAAGCCTCTCTTCCGGTTATCAAGTAATGTAATATGATGTCTATGTGTATTTTTGCTTTTGGATGAAAGCATTGGAATTGTTCAAATTTAAGTTTTGGATTTTTTTGTGTTATATCGACCCATAATGATCCAAAAATTCTGAAAGTGTGGTAATGTTTTCCTTTCGTTCTTCGCTAATGAATCCATTGAATTAAATCATTCCTCTTAGTTTTTTAAATTTTCGATTTTCTTTGAAAGTCGGTTGTCCCACGATAACTAAAGAAAATGTTCTGAATTGATTGAATGACGGTTTAAAAAATTTGTTTGGGTGTCCTTTTGATCAAGTTCGAAGATGAAGGCGATAGCAATAATCGTTATTTTGATTTATTTAAAAATTTGCAAAAATTTTGTAGTTTTTGAAAATCAGAGTTCCGGGGATATCTTGGAATATCACGCTTCAAATGAATTCAATCATAGCTCAAAATGTTTGTTTTATTGCCATTAAGTCGCAGTTAAAAAATGATGACGATAGCTATATTGATTGATTTAATTGTTATGATGATTCAAATGTGATATTTCAAATTCATTCAGGTACTAGCAAACGGGCGCTCCGCGCTCGTCGCTAGATTAATTTATACTGTGCAATTTTATTTTATTTTCTTCCCATTTCCGTCTTCACAATTAGATTAATTTAATTTTATTCATTCTTATTGTTATTATATAAATTTTTGTTCCTTAATTAACAAGTTACAACATTGAATGAAGAGGAATTGCCGATAAATCACGTGAGAATACAGATCGACAAACAATTTTCTATAATCATAATTAAAATTTTTCATTTCTTTCTTTTTCTTTAAATTAACTAGTACCAATGATCTGAAAATGTGAACCAATATGAACATTTTACATCCTTTTGATCTCATTTCACTGAAATCGAAAAAGGAAATTGCAAAGAGAGATCGATCATCATCAATCAATATCAGTAAAATGAAAAAATCTATTTTTCTGTCTTTTTGAAATTTTTCAAATTGTTTTTTCTACTTAAAAAATGAGAAAGATTAACATGTTTAATTTCTGCGATCGTGTTCCATTCATAGAAGCAGGAAATACGGAAAATGTAGGTAAGGAAAATCAGAAATAAATTTTAAAAATCGATTTTTCAATTTTAAAATGTTTTTTTTTTAATAATGAAGAAAAACCTATGTATTTTCGTTCTATTATCTAATGTATTTCCTTTCTATTATCTAATTCTGATGGAAGAAAGTGAAAAGAGGAAGAGAACCGAGATCAAAATGAAAACAGAATTTTGAATTTTTCAATGTTTACGGAAAATTTTTAAATTGATATATTTTTTCGAATAATGAACCAATACCCATAAATTCAAGTCCTATCCTCATATTTTCATAGAATACATAAAAAAATAGCAAAGAATTCAAATCAGCGATGAAAAATTTTATCGTACTATAATTATGTAATAATAATAATGTATAAGTAAAATTGTTCTATTAACGTTTTATCGAAGGGTCGAGAGGAGAGATAAAACCGTAAAAAAGACTATCGGTTGTATAGAAGAAAGGAATAATAAGAATAATGATGCTGATAACATTCAATTAAGTTGAAAATCTGACAAAATTAGTTTTAAAAAAATCTTATTCAATTCAATAAAATGAAATAAGCAATGAATAATACATGATACATAGAAGAAAATTATGAGCAAAAACCCATTCGGAAGCATATTGCTAATTTGTTAGCAAAAATAACTATACTATATGCAATGTGATTTACCGAATACAATCCATCCATTCAGAAGTAAAAAAGGAAAATTTCACTTATTTTCCGGATTTTTTGCTCGCTAGATTTCAGATTGAAACAAAATTCTGAAATTGAGAGATTCTTATGACAATCTAAAAACTTTTGTTCTCTTTGTTGAATGCAAAATGCATTCTAACAATCTATCACTCACCTTATGAATGATATTCAGCATTGGTCCGAAGGCCCCAAGAAGCACCTGATCATCACTCTCCTCATCATTCTTAATCATATTAACAACATTCTCAGTGAATAGATTCACATTCGAGGCTTCAGACGAGTCCACGAAGAGCTCCAGGTACTGTCGATGTATGTCCTGTTCCTGGAAGATGTCTGGAGCCTCTAGGGCAGTCCCCACTGACCTCAGGACGACATTCTCCAGGCTAATGACATCATTGATCCCTGAATCGTCTTTTTCTTGATGTTTTAGTCTCTGGAGTCGACTCCAGCACTCAAACAGATAAGGAATTATCTCCGGTTGGACGAAGTGGGGGTCTAGGGTGACCCCTTTTGTCCCCAAGGGGGGAACGAGTTTCGATTCGATGTCTGGGAAGGTCAGACGCTCGAAAAGTCCATCGTCTATCGTTTCTGCGTCGATTGAGATGAGTTGGGAGCGAGTTTGTGGGGTTCTCTTGGTTAGTAAAAGCCCGAAGATGGATTGAATGTGTTTGTCGAGGGCGGAGGAGGTGCAGGAGGGGTCTGGGGAGGTTGTGGGGGGGTCGAGGCCATTTGGGAGAGATAAGGAAGGGGGATTCGGTGGGTTTTGAGCTTGGGAGAAGGATTCTGCTTCGGTGGAAGTTGAGAAGAGGCCGGCGAAAGGGTTGCTGTTCACGTTCTCACACATTTTTTCGAGTGGGGGTGTTAGCTTGCCATCTAGGGGGTGGTGGAGAAGGCTGAAACGAAAGAAGAATTTTTTTCTCATTGTAGCCGAGCGGTCAAACGAAATTAAAGATGTTTAGCCAAAACCCACATTATTAGCCATAATTTTGATTTTTTTGTCACACTAGATTAGTCCGCGCGCTCTGCCCGCGTATGTCCTACTCCATGGGGCTCAATGTATGTCAATTGTAGTGAATAGTGTTATATTAAATTTCTGAAGTTAAGGATAATCGGGCGAGCTGGGAAGGTTGGAAAAAAGCAGACATTTTTTTGTTTTTTTACGTATTCTTTAAATGATGGAAAAGGCGTGTGCAAAATTTCAGACTGCTGGGGAGCATGGTTAATTTATTATGAATTTTTGAAAAAGTGGTCATTTAACCCGCGATCTTATGGAAATCACCAAAAAAATTGCAAAACCCAAGGAAAAAATGCAGCCAAAGTCATGAAACTTTAGACACATTTAGAACATGTGATCAATGATTTTTTGAGTGAGAAAGATTGCCGCCTAGGAGCATTGTTTATTAATAATAGCGAAAAAAGTACTGAAAAATGAAATTTGTGCGCACGAAGCCCAAACGAGCAGCATCGTCCCAAGTACCGATCGGGTGGGGGTAGCGCGGTCAATTTAAACATCTCTTGAGAGAGAGCGATGAAGCGTTGTGATTGGAGCTCCCTCGAGCCAGTGGTACCAGCTCCTGGTAAAAAAAAAACTACCGACGATGTTGCTACTTTTTCACATGGATTAATATTTTTTCATTTATTAAAAAAAAAAACAATCTAAAAACCATTCAATGCATGGAACAGATACAAATAAATTTGATTAGTTCCAAAAATAATTTTTAACCGGAGATACTCCCTAATATTGCCTGAATTTTGAATCCGAATGGGAAAATTTTTTTTGTTCAGCCATTGGTTTTCTGCAGGAAAACAATAGAAACCCCTCCGCTTCACCTCCTACATTTCCTCCTCGCCCGATTATACTTAATATCAAGTTTTCCGAAAGAAAAGTCTCAGGAATGTATTGTATTTTTTTATATATATAATACATATCTAGTGTTACGTTTTTTGAAACAAATCTATTCGGCGTATTGTGTCATTAGATTTTTTATCAATGATGATAGCATACATTAAAGATATTACGATAATGCTATGTTATATTATATTCTATATTATACTATATTATATAAACTATGTATAATATTCAATATATAATAGAGTACTATATGTATTATAAAATATAATGTAGATAATAAAAAAAATTGAATAATAAACTGATAACAATAATAACATACAATGAGTACACGATATTGTGTTATACTACATATACCATTATATATTGCTCATGTATTATAATATAGTATAGTATGGAATATAATATAATATAGTATTATCGTAATATCTTTGATGTATGTTATCATCATTTATAAAAAACCTAATGACACAATACGCTGAATAGATTGGCTTCAAAAAAAGTTACACTGGAGTTTTTTATTATATAATATTTTGTCTCATATGCCAGGGTCGTATTTGAGCCACACGTTAGTAATAATCTTAATCCTCCCATCGAGGCATGTCAGTGAGACATTAATAGAAATTACATTCCTTGCTTGCACAGAGAATAAATTTTTTTTTAAAAGACCAAATTTATTTTTGCAATAATAATTTTCAATCGCGATGCACGCTTCGCATGTTTGGCACAAAAAATCATTTTTTGATCAATTCCATTTTATACTATTTACTATTTTTTATGATATTTATGTGTCCAATACTGCGTCTTCGTCAGTCGGAATAAAATGAAACATTCTAGTGACCGAAAATTGCGAGCTTTTCGAAAGGTTCTAGGTGAATTCATCCCGGACAACTCATCCCAAACAATTTCATCCCAAAACAAATTTATCCCATGAAAAATTCATCCCACAATTCAAATTCTAATGAAATTTTCAACGTCAACAAGAAAAAATAGGGGGGGAGGAAGAGAATGAAATCTTTATTCGCAAAAAAAGCAAACACACTAAACAAAACATGGAAAGCAATTAAATACGTCACCATTTCTACACAATCTTCATCACAACACCGATCATCGGATCTATGGAAAACATTCCAAGAGAAACCATTAAAAAAGTCTTCATTCATCACAACAAATATTCATCAAATAGGCGACAATAATAAACCATGTCGAATGCGTGACAATACCATACCATGTCACTTACGAAATTGATAAACGGTTAATACGAAACATTCGAAGTAACCCACTGGAAATAAATTATTCATTTTAACTATCGTCCATTATAATCATAACAAAGGTCAAATTAAAAGTCAACATTTTGAGCAACATTCTCCAAATATTTCACAACACGTCCAGCATCATATTTGCCCGAAATTCAATACCCTGGTAATCCGATGAATAACAAATCCGATGAATCCAAATATTTCACATTCTGGGTTGTCTGTCATCTTGGGATGAATTTGTTTTGGGATGAAATGCCATGGGATGAGTTTGTGGGATGAATTCACCGGATACCTTTTCGAAGTAACGTAAAAAATATTAAAAAATCCGTCGAGGTAATTTACGTAAATTACGTCGGTAAAAAACGGTGTAATTTACACGCCCCACCCTGCTAGTAATACAATATAGTATTTTGTCACTACCTTTTTTATAGCCCTCAATTAACTCTACACAAAAAGGTTATTACGAAAATTTTGTTATCTGCCTTAGATTCGGAGATATTTCTCGAAAACTGAACTAAGGGCTAAATCGACTTAAACCGGTTTACTGCTTCGCACGGTTGGGCGTGTAAATTACGTTGGTAAATTAAACCGTTTTTTACCGACGTAATTTACGCAAATTACCTCGACGGGTTTTTTACATTTTTTACATTACATAGAAAAACTTGCAATTTTCGGTTACTAGAATGTTTGATTTTATTTCGATTGATGAAGACGCAGTATTGGACACATAAATATAATAAAAAATAGTATATTATGTCCCGAGGACAGATAAAGCGCGAATTTTAACTCCGCTCTGTTCGGTTAGAACGCGGTTCTCGGTACTTGGGGCATAAAATATTATTTTATGTCCCTAGAACCGTCAAACCGCGATTCTAACATCGATTCCTTCAGTAAAATGGCGGTGTCCGGGTTTAGAGACATAAAATATTATATGTCGCAGGGCGATAAAACAATTTTCTTACCCATGTGATTAAAATCCTCGTCTTCGGCTCGAATTAGAAAGCCACATTCGTCAGAAAATACTCTCATCACTTGGTGACATAATGTATTATTACATCACGTGGTACGATTTACGGCATTTTAGGAAAGTCATAAACATGAGCCTCATACCTCATAAAGGCTAAATTTCACGAGGGTCAAATGTTGTAAAAGACCAAAGTCACAAGTCATCCCCATTGTGAGAAAGTGAATATCATTATCTATTGAGCTTTATGGGATTATCTACTTTATTATTTGGAGCTCCGGAAAAGCCCAGTTGGACCTGAAAAAAACCATTTTGTTCTGAAGAGTTCAAAAAAGCTACCAAAGACAATTGAATTAGTTTTGTCATTTAATAATGCTGAATGAAACAAGTTAGGGTCAAGACAAAAGATAATGATGCGACGAATCCAATAGAAAGCAATAAATAATGAGATTGACCCTTGTAAAATTCATCCCTTACACGGTATGACCCTTATGAGGTGTGACCCTCGAAACGTATGACCCTGGCGAGGTATGAACCCCGTGACTTTTATCACCCTCGCGAGGTATAATCTTCGCGAAGCTTCACGGTTTACGATAAAAGATAACGTCGGCTGTTTTTTTTACATTTTTTACATCTATTACGTAAATTATGGGTTTTTTAGAATGTCATGTAAAAAACTGCGGTTATCGACAGATGCCCAACCCTGCCGCTTCGTTACTGAATTTTGAGAAAAAAATTTCAAAAACCCAAATAATGAAGATTTTCAAGAAGCCCTACTTAGTTATATTTATGCATATTCGTGAATCCGCGAATGTTGTATACGAAAAATTGCCGGAAAATTTAAATTTTTTTTTCTATTGTTTATCGAAAAGTATAGTTTAAAAGGAGAAAAATGACCGCAGACGGAGCTCTCTAACTCAATTATTGGCGGTGATATTAAAGATTTGATTTTTTTTTTCTAAAAACTTTTTTCTTGAATTCTAATTACGAGCCACTAAGAATAACAAAAAAAAATTTAAACCCATAGGTTTTGTTGAAAATTTTCTCAGCTTTTCGAAAAAAATATTGTTTTTTACGTATCTATGCATTTTGGCATGGAAAACTCAAAAAGAAAGTTTCAAACGGTAATTTTGCATCGTTCCCCACCCTTTTTCTTTTTTTGTTTTTTTCATCGGAAAGTTCAGAAAATTTCCTATCAAAAACATATTTTTACTCTTGGTGCTCTCACAAACTTAGAGGTAAAATGCAGAGAAAAAGAAAATTTTGTCCTCCCAAAAGATTAGTTTTTCACAAATATCTCGAAATCTAAAGGGAATAGAGAATTTTTGTATCTATCTTTTTTGTAGAGCAGAATGAGATCTACGAAAAAGCTCTTATAAAAATTTTTCTATCTACCGTATATTCAGAGATATTGATTGAGACAATTATCTCCGGATTCAGTTGCCAATCATTTTTATTACAATATCTCAGGATTGAAGCAAAATATCGATTTCTTAGTAAGGACCTTTCTTGTAGGAAAGAATGAGATCTACAAAAAAGGTTTGTTAGAAACGCAACTAAAATTCCAGAACATTCAGCTCGAAGACCATCGGGAACCTTCGGTTGAGCGGTCAGACGATCGTGAAAACCCCCAAATTTAGTCTTACATCGCACCTCACCAAGTACAGTAGCATTTTGAACCTCACCTAGTAGCCAAGTACATCACCAGTCTTTGTAAGATCAACTTTTAGTTCAGTACATCACCTCAGTTTTGTCAGTTAAAATTCATTTAAATTCTGTGAGTCAACCGTAGTAAATTCAGAGACAATTATCAGTGAAATAAGACTATCAACAGTGACAAATTTGACAATCAATTACCAAAGAGTATAATAATTAACGACGTGGCTCGATCCCACAATAAATAGTGATATTTTTATAATCAGTGTCACAATTAATTTTCCAGCATCTCCCTCCACGTTTTTCTCCCACATCCACCCTATACCTAGTTCCTCACCAAACAAGGTAATTTTGAAGGTTATTTTTAACAATCCCTTTATCTCCTTTGCATTCCGAGATATAGGCCAAAAATTAATTTTCAGATTTGAGTGACACATCTTGTTTCATGTCTTCACCTCGGAATTAAGTTCTGTGCTGGGTTATGATATTCAGAAGATTTAATTTCTACATAAAAAACGTCAGGGGATATTGGAAAAATAATTACGAAGTTCATTAAATTATCATAGTGCGACGTTTTGCTAAATTATGTTAGCTTTATCAGGCTCTGGAAAACAAAGTTGCAAATAAAAATATAAGCAAAAAATTTCAACAATTAGTTAATGATTTGTTCATATTTTTGTTTGCAAATTTGCTTTCCAGAGCCTGATGAAGCTAAAATAATCTTGCGAAACGTTGCACTACGACAATTTAACCAACATCGTAATTATTGCTCCAATATCCCCTGACCTTTCTTATATTGAGTAATATCATGGAGATGAGAACAATCATTAATTCAGTAGCGAAGTGCTAAAACGGTTTAAGTTGACTTATCTCCCAGTTGAGTTTTTGAGGAATATTTCCGAATCTAAGGGAGATACCGAAATTTTTGTAATTACATTTGTTGTAGCTCTCAATCGGCTCTACAAAAAAGGTTATAACGAAAATTGCGCTATCTTCCTTAGATTCGAAAATATTCCTCAAAAACTCAACTGGGAGATGAGTCGACTTAAACCGTTTTACCACTTCGCTACTGAATTTAATTTCTACTAATCAATGCTCAATAAATCATAAAAATGAAGGTCATTTTTCTGGATTTTATTCATTTTTTGAAATGTCTACATAATAAAATAAAACGATAAACTCAATTTTTTAGCTATGAAAAATTCTTATGACAAATGTCTTTTGAAATTTCGTCTAAAAATTAGTCATAGACTATTGTGTGATGTTTTTCATCTAAAAAAAGTCGAAGAAATTCTAATAAAAAATCGAGAATTATTCTAAATATACCCATTTCTTAATTTGTAATCAAAATTATAAAAACAAAACCACTTTTTCTCCTTTCGATTGCAAAAAAAAACTAAAAACCCTCAACAATATAGAAACATTCAACAGCTCATTCTATATTTTTTTATTGAAGAGGAAATCCCTTTAAGAAAGTGGTTGAAGATGATTGTTTTTCCTCAGTTGTCGAAATCACTTGAATTAATATGGATTAAAAAATGAAGTATTGAAGAATAGAATCAATTAAAATTTGTGGCCTCTTACTTTGCTTCATATATTCACTACATGTTTTACGTAAATTCCTGGGTTTATCGCCACTTGTGACACGTAGTCAGGTTAATTCTCACGTTTCATGTGTTTTTGGAGTTTCCCGAAGATGTCAAGGGCGACCCGAGGGTGGAAGACGCAGAGATAAGAAACTGAACTCACCTGAAAACTCACTGAGGTGGTAATGAGTTTAATTTCCTATTAATTTTGGCTCATGATTGACAAATCATTGTTGTTTGGCAGTAGTTTTGAGGTTTAGATGATGACACGGAAGGTTGGGAAGATTTTTAGCAAAAGTGGGGGAAAAACAAAATGGCGGGAGAATGGCCGCAAAGGTGGGAAGCTTGAAAAACATAAGGAAATTGTTTTTCGATATTTTTGCCAAGGAAATCTTTGTACATTTTTCAAACGAAAGCTTTGTGATTGATTGATTTTTCGATTCTCTAATTTTGCTTGGAAATGACTTAGACTGTCATTAAACGTCAGAATAAGATATTTTTAGAGAACAAGATCTGTGCGCGCGCTCTCGCATTTTTCAAATAAATCCAAATAATGATTATTGCTATCACTTTCATCTTCGAACTCGGTCAAAGGGACATCCAAACAAATTTTTTAAGCAATCTTTCAATCAATTCAGAACATATTTTTCAGTTATCGTGACACAACCGATTTTGGAAAAAAACAAAAATCAACAAAAACTAATCGATGAATTAAATTGTAATTAATGGTGATTGATAGATCTCAATACCTACATTTGAAAAAAAAAAAAGATTCAATTCCGTACTGGGTCGATAACACAAAAAATCCAAAACTTAAATTTGAACGATTACAAAATTTCCATTCAAAAGCAAAAAAAACAAACATCAAACTTCAAATTCCAAAGAGTAACAAAATTTAATTTATTTACTGGTATCAACTTACATTATTTTCCATAAAAAAATGATAGCACTTAGTAATAATAAAAAGAAACTAATGACGACAAATGTCGAAGAGAAATAATGAATGTGTTTTGAACATGTTCCACATTGAGAAAAAAAAATATAAAAAAACGGAAGAAATAAACTTTGAGTTTAACTTATGAACTTGAAAAAGTGTCATTTCTTATGAAATCTCGATTTCCTCCACTGGCTTGTTCTCACCCTCTTCCTCTTTCTTCTCTTTCTTCTCCTCCACATTGCCTTCAATACCCACAAAGTCACCGACGTTCACTCCCTCCTTGCTCATCCACGTTTCCAGCTCTCCCTTCATCTTCCTCTCCAGCCCCTCAATCAGATCCCTCGCAAAGTTCCTCCTCATCTCCTGGTCCTTCAGTTCCTCCAGCATGTCCAGAACTTTCTTAGGACCCAGCTCCCCCTCCCATTCTCTAACCAACTTCCCCAGGAACACAGCCAAGCACTTCCAGACATCAGGAATCTGCATGAATATCTCCTCAAAATGACTGAAAAACAGCTTCAACTCCCTCAACACAATCTCCAGGAACACCTGCTCTCCCCCAACCCACTCAACAATTTTATTCCCCAGATCCTTCCTGAAGATTTCAAAGTACTCATTCCTGAGTTGAACCCTCTCAATAGCCGAGTTAAGAAGTTCCCTGGTGAAATTTGTGGACTCAAACAGATTGAACTGAGGCTGAATCTCCTTGTAGAAGGCCTCCACGAAGTTCTCCTTGTCTTGACCTCCACAGTAGAAGTCCAGAACCTTTGAGAAGCTGAAGATTTCCACCAGATGATCCTCTTCAGCCTCATCCCTCCTCCACTTCCACCCCCTCGACCTCACATCGATGAGTTCCTCGATCATGAATTTAATTCGAGTGCTTAATCCACTCTGCAGGGACATCTCTGACAGTTTCTCGTAGTAAGTCGATTGATCATCGTCTCTGAATTCGAAGTTCTTGCCAGAGATTTTTAACAGTTTGCAGAGGTACTCCAGGTGAGTCTCATTTGAGTTCAGCAGCAGATGCTGAATGATCTTGTGGAGGAAGTAGTTGGAGAGTAGATCCTCGTTGTAGAGCTCTCCAATGAACAGAATGTTCCCCAAGAATTCTTTGGGGTTTTCCTCATTCATCTGCCTGAGTTCTTCCTGCAAGAGCTTCTTCGATGATTCGTCGGTAGTTCCCTCCAGCTCCTCGAGCTTCTTCGCTTTGAGGATGTCCAGAGACTTATGCTTATCGAACTCTGATTCACATCTGGAGATGATCAGTGAACGGAGGTGGAGGATTTTCGGCTGAACCAGGACAAACTGCTTGCAGAGGAGGGCGTAGGTCCTCGAGTACATGGGCTCGTCGATAGCCTTCTCGAAGAATTGGCTTATGATGCCGTTCTCGTCGTCCTCACTCTCGATGTTCAGCCCCTTCATTTGTTCCAGGAGATTTTGGAAGTTCGAGGGGGTCACTTTGTTCAGGATGCTTCTGATCTTCTTGGAGAGGGAGGGATGCTTTAGCTCGTCCTCTGAGGACTCCTGAAGCAATTGAAGGAAAAAAGTGAGTAGGGGAGTTGCATGAATTTTTTTCAATTTTCTAATCTCAAGTTTGGGACCTGAATAATTCAGTAGCGAAGTGGTCAAACAATTTAAGTCGACTTAGCTCTTAGTTGAGTTTTCGAGGAATATCTCTAAATCTAAGGGAGATGGTGAAATTTTCGTGTATATCTGTTTGAAATTGATGCTAAAAATTTAGGCGGGTTGGGGAACAGTGATTTGGAGAAGATGTGAAAATTAAGAACACGCGATTTACTAAGAATCCACTGGTGATGTACTTTATTTGTGGTGTAAACCACGCGTCTAGAAATTTTATAAGGGTACACTGTTCGTTGAATTGTCTCAATTTAAATTCGATAATTGTCTCTACACTGCATCTGATAATTCTCTTGATAATTCACTTGATTATAGTCTCAAAATGATTGATAATTGACTCGAAATTAATAGATGATTGACTCGAATAGAGACGCTGCTAGGAGCGTTAACTTATTATCTCACGGTGATGTACTCGATAGAGCGATTGCGACAATACTGACTGTACAGAGATTGAGACGATACGATACTGAACTTGATGGGTGATTTACTTCGTGACTTGACCGTGAACCCGAAGGGTCCCGAGGTCGTTCGAGAATTTTCGTTGACCCCGGTGCCATTAGATAGGAAACTAGTGCTGTTTTTTAAACATATCTTTTTTGAAACTCAATGTGCTCTACCGAACAGGTCATAACAGAAATTTTGCTATCTGCCTTAGATTGCAAGATATTCATTGAAAACTCACGAATAGTCAAAATCGACTTGAACCATTTGACCACTTCGCTACTGAATTCATTTTTCATTCACAAACGTTCGAACCCTATAATCTCTGTCGAAATATTGCTCATTAATTATTAACGGATACGTCGGTGACATTTAAAAGTCTTCACTGGGCCTTGGGACCCATTGAACAGTTTCTGATATATGACGAAATATGGGAATAACTATCGAAAATCGCGGACCCAATCGGTTTTGTCCCGCATAAGAACGAAAAACTTCATTTTTTTCCTATTTTTACCTTCAAAATGCTCCTTGCACTGTAGTTTTCATACGATTTTAGGTTTTTTTAATGTTCATGAATAAATGAATTTTGAATTTCATAAATTTTCTTTTGAATCCCCCTTTCCGCTTCAACCTGCTATTTTTTTTGTTCATAAAAATTAGATTACGTATGATTGGTGTTCAATTACTAAAAATAAAGAATTTTTAATTCCTCTCTACAGACGTGAAAAATTTAAATTTCACCGTCGTATCCCCTTCAGGGGAGACTACTATGAATTTTGAAATTCGCGGGCTATTGGAATTCGATTTTTCATACATTAAAGATCGATTAGATGTATCCAAAAATGAATAATTAGTGCAAAAAAATTAATTATTTATTGATTGTTTGTCTCGCAGAAGTTTAAAATGTTAAAAATAGTCCAGCGCCTCTAATTTTTGAGCTACAGAGGTTTCTTTTTTTTTCAAAATATTTTCTAAATATGTGTACAATAACAATTACGAATTAGTTTTTTAAAATTCAACACCTACACAGCTAATTTCGTTATATTTTTACTTTCGAATGAAAGTATTGTTTTAATGAAAAATTGCACCATTCATGTAAAATGGCCCAAAAAATGTTTCTCAAAGAATAGTGTATTCCTTTTCATCCCCACCATATGGACTAATGCAAAATGACCGTCACAGTTGACCCTAGTCTAGTCACCAAACGCACCCCTGTGACTTTGGTTACCTCCGCGGGGATTCCCCGCAGTGTTATTTAGGCTTGTGTTGCTGAATTCATTCTACACCACACTGCCCGGGCGCGTTTAGCGAGTTTCCGCCAATGCCGCGTCATGGGCAATTTCATTTAAGGCTCGGGTGTACTATCTTCCGAATGTTATTTGCATTTTTTTATCTTCCGTAATCCATAATTGTCAATTGAGTGGTACATCATGTAGAAATTCCCAAAAATTATGCTAGAATAATAAAAAAATAGAAAAAATTCTGAACTTTTTCAAAGAGCGTTTTTAATTGAGATTCAGAATGAGTTGAAAAAAGTGGAAATTACAAATATCTGATTCGCTGTGGCAAATTATCTATTAGCTGTCATTTTCCATGGTGGATAACAAAACACTAACTCCTCATGGGAAGTGACAGCTAGGTATCTCAATTTTCAAAACAGTGGTATGTAGTCATCTGCCATTTTTATGTGATAAGTGTGATTAAAAAATTCTCCAAATTATTACAACTCTTTTCAAAGAGCCTTTGCCGTAATAAATGTCTCTGTGCAGTGTGGGAAAAAAATTACGAAATCAGTGTTCCCCCCGCATGATATTAAGTGACAGGCCGCCATTTGTCATCGTAAATTAGATACATTTTTCAATTTCCTGTTATTTAACTTATTCTGAATATAAATTAAAAATGCTCTTTGAAAAAATTAAGAATTTCTTCTACTTTTTTTTGATTATTCATTCATAATTTTTCAAAACTTCTGCATGATGCAGGACTCAATTGACAATTTCAGGTGACGAAAGAAAAAAAAAAACATCGAGATAACGTTCGAAAGATAGTACATCCGGCCTTAAATTGATAGTTAATTGAATAATTAAAAGTTGAAGAGTAATGATGACTAATTAATGGCTTCAAAATTTAACGGTAATTGTGATTTATGAATCTGGCGATCCCTATCTAGAATTATAGTTTCTCAAAACAAGATCTATGCGCGCGCTCTCGCGCGCGCTGATCTATTCATTTGTTGAAATGAAGAAATGGAATTCATTAAATTTCATTTTCTCATGAATACCTTATAAATATTGATAATGAATCAAAGAGAATTCGACTAATGATTGAAGTGAATAGCGAAGTAGAGAAAAGAATCTATAAAGAATTTTTCATTTTCAACTAATTATCTTCAATTTTTTTAAATAATCGGTTTCCATAAAAGGACAGAATTTATTAATTTCACCGAAAAAAAAATTTATCTCTGAAGAATTTGAAATTATGTCACTGAAGAATTTGAAAATGCCGCGTGTTTTTTTTGTGAATAACTTCGTGTCAAATATTGACCAATCAGAATTAAGGATTAGCAGTCAGGCGGTTTTGAGATATTTCGATATAAAACAACTTCACATTTCTTTCATCTTTAGTAAATAGGATCAGGAGCTCAGACCTGGAAATTAGAATTTTTCTTTCGCTGTGAATGAAAACTCACATTGAGAATTTTCGTTGGAACATTCTCCTCAGCTGTGATGTTCTTATCATTCTGCTCAGCTTTTCCATCAGCTTTCTCTTGCTCCCTCTTCTGGGGTCTCCTTGACTTGCTATCTCCCCTAGGCGGTTTAGAAGGGCCCTGAATGTTCTGAGTAGATTCTGGTGGGGAGCTGGAGGGTTGAGAAGAGGAGACAGAAGGGATTGGTTGGTCATTGTTGACGGGGTGAGAGTCCTGACCATTCCTGCGAACGTTTTGGGATCTTCCTTGTGGCCTGGAATTACCATTCTGGGGTCGAGAGTGACCGTTCATCAGTGGAGTGGGACCTGCAGCTCCTGAAGACCTCTGAGAGTAGTTTTGCTGCTCCATTTGGCTCTGCAGAGAGTGGAAACGAGACTTGAGCATGAAGTAACTCTTCTTGTAGAAACGGCGTTTCTCCTCGTCCTCTGGGTTCTCGTCCAGGGCCTTCAGCAGATCAGCAATCATTTCCTTCTTAAACTAAAACAAGGAAAGGAGATTCTTTTGGTGAAATGGTAAAGAAAAATGTGTTGAGGAATAAGGATATCCAAGTATCTTTTACAGTTTGGTACAAACCACACTATAGATTTAACAATTTTCTAAAATTTGGAAAAAAATCATGAATATTGAACGTCATTAAAATTATGTTTTGCAGAGAATTAGGATTTTTATTTAAACATTCGTTGTTTATCAATAAATAATTAAAATTATTGCTTCCGAATGGAAGTTTTGTAGTCATTCGAAGAAAATTTCAAATTGGTGTATTAGTTTTTTAGATATCGAGAAAAAACGAAATGTAAACAAGTTGTTATATCTCAGGAACTACTGGACCGATCGGACTGAATCAGCGCGCCAAAGTTGAACTCAATAATAATACAATGGGCCAAAATTTCAGATTTTTATCTACAAATTTTACGGTATTCATGTTGAACTAGCGAACTAGATTAGCTCATACTATTCTCTTCTATTTTCTTAACATTTTCGTCGTAACAATTAAATTAATTAAATTTATTTTTATTATATATATATTTCCTTAACTCATATGTTGCAACATTGAACGAAGAGGAATTATGTTGAAGATCAATAAAAAGTATTTTTTCTTTGATCAAACCAAACACACAACATAAAAGTCATTCGAAACCTCATTCATATAATATAAAAATTTCTCCATGCATTCCTGAAAATTTGTTTAATCTATTTTGTTTCGAATAATGATAGAATACCCATAAGTTCGATTCATTTTCTTGTCTATTGATAGAATGAATAGAATTACATGAATGCCAATGAATTGCAAAAACCACGAATTGGAGAGTGAAAATTTTCAAAAAGGGATGATCGGCTAGAAAATGGAGAAAATTTGTTTTCTTCATTCCTTTGGTTCATTTTTCGGTGGAGAATTGGAATCACTGTTGTTTCTTCGAATATGGGCGGGATATGAATATTTTGGAATCTTATGATCTAATTTTAACGAGAAGAAATTTTTAAAAAATGCAAAAAACGTACGTGGGATGAAATTTTAAAAAAAATTTCAATGTCTTCGGAAATTTAAAAAATCGATATAATTTTTCGAATAATAGAAGCACACCCATAAATTTGATTTCTATCCTTATATTTTGATAGAATAAATAGAATAAATGACAGAAATTGAAAATTGTAAACTAAAAATTTTATCCAATTATTATTATTCTTTCTCCTCAACTACTCCCAGCCATAACGGTCATCACAGCGGTTTTAATCATAACAAAAGTATAATTCTTTCTGTGCCACTTATACTCTTATACCCCTTTTATACTTTTATTTGTTATCCTGTTGTTATGATTCTTTCTTATTTGTTAATTCATTAAAACCGCTGTGATGACCGTTATTGCTGGGAGTAGTTGAGGGTTTAAGGTCGTTGGCGGGGACATATTAACATTAATAAATTCTGAAACCAGAGGATTATTGGAAATCATTTGGTAAACAATGGGACACCAATACCATAGGCCATTCATTAAATTCGAATATACGTAATTAATAAATTTTTATATATTTTCTTTTTTGGACTCTCCACTAACTACGTCCTCGTCGTGAGTCCTGGGTTACGCCAAGAGTTGGTGAGGATTGAATTCTTCACCAGGAAACTGTTGGTTCCTTTAAGAACTTGGTTACCTCATTTGAACCAAAAGAATTTCAATTACCATATAAAATTAATTTATTGTCGTAAGAAGGTACGTCGGAGTTAAAGAAAGAATACCTTATACCCATTAAATTTAATTTAATAATAAACCAGATGGATATAATAAGAAAGGACCACAGCAACACTCCACTCAAGAACCCACAACTTACACGGTTTTGCTTCAAAGGAGTGCATAGTACCTTTGAAGATATTCGAATACTAATGTTATCCCAATCATTCCCAAACCATTATAAAGATAAATTTGAATACTAGACGTGAAATAAATTAACTGACCCGGCTGGCGATGTTATACCGTTGAGGAGAAAGAAGAATTGAACGCGGTTGACTTGTCATTAGGAAGAATTATTATTATGTAATTTTCTACAAGTTTATCACCAAAAACCCAAGTTGTCGGATACATACACACAGACATGACCCTAAAAACACCATTTCTTCACGTTTCATAATACTAGATCTGTGCTTATCTTTTTGTTGTGAAAATGAAGAAATCGAATTTATTAAACTTCATATACTCATAGATGTTTTATAAATATTGATAATGACTTAAAGAGAATTAAGAGAATGGAGAGTGAAGCATCAATGAATAATTTTTAATCTTCGATTAATTCTTTTTTTTTTACTTTTTAAAATAATCTGATTAAAATCTGTAATTGTTGAAAAATCAGGGGAGGGTTATGAATTGATTTCCTAGAAAACTGAAAAAATTTCTTGAATTCTTCGGAAAATTTCAGTTTTCCAGATAACCGTAGATCACAGATTTTTCTCGAATTATTTGGGAAACCGAAAAATTTTCGTGAATTTTGTAGAGTTTAGAATTAATATATGAAAATCTGAGAAGCAAGAATTGATCATTTTGGCGTGTGATAAATATGAAAAAATTAAAATTTGGGAAGTGAAGAATAATTTGTGAGTTAAAAAAATTTAGAAATACTATGTTCTTTTTTCTCATGATCAACAATTAGGCAATTTAGACGTTTTGATGTAAAGATCAACTTCACACATGAAAAAATGAAAAATATGACGCAGAACAAATTTTTGGCATTTGAAGAATTTGAAAATACATGGAACTTTTTTCTGCGCCTACTTCACGTGACTCATTGACTAACCAGAATTGAGGATTAGCGGTCAGGCAGTTTCGAGATATTTCGATATAAAATAACTTCACGTTTCTTTCCTCTTTAGTAAATAGGATTCTAGACCATTTGCAATCGAAATTAGAAAATGGAAAAATCGGTCAAAAACAAGATTTCCATTCGGAAGGAAAAAAAATTCTAAAGAAAATTCATCATTTCCGGAGAAAAAAAAATTACTGAATACTTACAGCATTCATATATGAAACAAACCACTGCGGTGGTTCATTGATGATTGGCTCATGCTGGGGTGGCATGGGTGATGGAGGATCAGAATTTCCGTCCATCCTCGTGTTCGAGGGTGATTCACGACGCATCCTAGGAGGTTTCCTGCTTCTGGGAGCTGGAGCCTCACGTTTCCCGAATCGGGGCCCTGCTCTTCCTCTTTGCACTGACGACATGGCTTACTATGGGAAATTAAGATCAAATGACTGCATCATTTTATCAATTACTAACAACAAAAAATCCATTACTAGAATTTTGATAAAAGGAAAAAACACTGGGTTTTGTACCTTCAAAATTTTGCTTTTGATGAGACTCTTCATGTGATTTTCTTATCATTAAAAAGGCGTAAAAGTTTTGTTTCAGTTTTTTTTTCAATTTTATTATGCTCATTACGTCAATTTTTTCGTTTTTTGGTTTTGGCAATATTTGGGGTTCTAGCAAAAGTAATTTTTTTTTCTAGTTTTCAGTAAGTATTTTTGACGAGAATTTTCTGTTCTTTCGATTGAGCGTTGCCCCAAATGACTCGTTCCATCGGAAATACGTTAAAATTGCTTTAAAAAATTGAAAAACGATTCAAAACAAATGATTATTATGGTGGAAAAGTGATTATTTATGAATTGTTTATAGAGAACGCTCGTAATTTTCAAAAATTGCAATTCTTAAATTATTTTGTCAATCTTCCTCCAAAAAAAACTTTCTAATTTTTTCTAGATTTTTAAAATGCTTACTAACGGTTCAATATCGAGATTCAAAGGCAAACCTAGAAAGTTTAAGTAATAAAATCATTGTAAAATTTCCAGAAACTTAGGGCCAAATGGGGCTCAAATGAAAGCTCTGATGTTCCACTACAAAAGTAGAACAGCACTTCCCTGGAGAAAAAATAGCCAAAGTACTTGGGTATCCTTAAATGTCAATAATTATCAGAATTGTTCATTATTTTTCTATACTGCTTCTTACGATTTCTCGTCTGGAAATTGGTATTGCATACTTCCCAAACTCGAAAACTTGAAAATCACTACAAAAAAATCTTGTCCCGGGCTGCTGCGATGGGGTTTTTTACTCGTGTGGTTGGCCAGTCCTCGTCTTCGGCTCGGACGCCAACGCCACACGAGTAGAAAACCCCATCGCAACAGCCCGGAAAAATACAATTTCCGGAGATTTTTCAGTTTGATGAATGGAATAAATATTTCCCCTAGATTTCCAGAATGGAAATGGCTATTTCGCTCAGTCTAGGCTCATTCACTGAGGGGATGAATTGCACTTTTTATTGAAAAAACAAATTATTCCATTTCATCAACGATTCAGTAAGTCTTGAACATTTGAAAAAAAAATCAAGAGTGTCCATTTCATCCGATTCTTTCCTATTAATAATTTATAAAGATGCACAGAATTTTTTTTTTTAATATTCGCTATTTATAAATCAATAATTGAATTGTTTTAATTTTAGTAAAATTCTGAAGATGAATAAATTTGTTATGATTCTGAACAAATCCTTTTATGGTAAAAAATTCATTATTTATGAATTATTTATAGAAAAGAAATAATTCATAGTTAATTATTGAAAGTTGTAATATTGAAAAATTGCAATTTCAAAATTATTACATCCATTTTCCTCCAAACCGTTTTCTAACGGTTCAATATCAAGATTCAAATACAAGCCTGCAAAGTTTAATTGATAAAATCATTGTAAAATGTCCGGAAACTGGGTCAAATGCGGTTCAAACGAAAGATCTGATGTGTGACTACAAAAGTAGAAAAGCATTTCACTGGAGAAAAAATACCCAAAGTATTTGGATATCCTTGAATGCCAATATTTATCAGAATTTGTGATTATTTTCCTGAACATTTTTCAGTTCAGTGAAAGGAATAATTAATTCCCCTAGATTTCCGGAATGAAAATGTGTACTGAGATCAGTCTAGGCTCATTCACTAAGGGGATGAATTGCACTTTTCATTGAAAAAACAAATTATTCTATTTCATCAACGATCCAACAAGGCTTGAACATTAAAAAAAAGTCAAAAGTGCCTTTTTACCCCACTCTCCAGTATTGATAATTTATGACGATCTAGTTTCCCGTCCGTTCCCATGGAATACGATCGCGAAACTTGATAATTCACCAATCAATTGATTAAAGAAACAATTTCATGAAATTAATAAATCATTTAGTGGAGACTGGAAAATGGACACTTTAGACTTTTTTAAATCATTTATAACTCAGAAACAAATTTATCAATTGAGCTCAGTTTAGGCTCGTCACAAAGGGAAAGAACTGCTCTTTGTTTTGAAAAAAAAAATTATTAAATTCCATCAACAATTCAATCCCTCATTAACATTTTTAAAAAAGTCAAAAGTGTCCGTTTAACCCCCCCCCCCCGTTCAGGGATTTTTCACCAATCAATCGATAACCGCAGTCAAAAATAATAACAATCGTGATGGTAATTCTCGAGATGCCTGAAGCCCCAAATTGCCCATGGAAATGAATGCGAAGATAAAAGATAAATTTTATCGATTCATTTCCTACCGAAGCATGAAAATTATCAAAACAAAATTTTTCACTGCGACATTGACAACAAGACTACACGAACAAAAGGGCGACCGATGAAGCCTGCTTGTTGTGTCTTGTCGCGAGGCATGCAGATGTAAACACATCGAAGGCCTCGAGGGACAAAAACAAAAGGGGATCGAAATGTAAACAAACGACAAACCACATTTCAATAGATAAAAATAATCCATGAAAACTTTCAAAATGGAAAATTATGCCTTTGGAAAATGCCAAATTCAATCTCCGTCATCACTACTTTATTATTAGACCCTTATTATTCTTCTTTCACGAATATCACAAAATAAAATAAAAATTCCATTCGGAATAAGCAAAAAATCCCCAATGTTTCATCACTTTCCTAGATTTAATTCACTTACACCTCCAAAAATTCACTTTCTTCACAAAAAAAAAACAAAAAACCGAAATATTTTGGAAATTATTCAATGAAGATTTGCTAAAATTCAGTATCAAATTAAAAAATAAGAAACGAATGGCGACAATATCCCAAAAGTTTTTAATTTTTTTTTTCGGGCGGCTTTGATTGACAATAATAACAAAAAACGAAAGATGTTGAATGAAGATTTGCTAGAATTCAGTGTCAAATTAAAAAATAAGAAACGAATGGCGACAATTTCCCGAAAGTTTTTAATTCCTTTTTTCCGGCGGCTTTGGTCGACGCAATAATAATTAATAATTAATTATTATCAAAACTTACTCCGATGTTTCCTCAGACGTTAAAAATCCACGACCAGCGTTGAAAAGTGAGGAAAATCACGGGGCAATCCGATGGTGAAGACAAAGGATTATCCGCGATGTCCAGAAGTGCACAAACAGTCATACGATCCTCTGACGCCGGGTTTTGAACTGATTATGGGGAGATGAGGAGGACTCGCGTTACCTTCGGCCTATTTCGTGAAAAGCCGAAGACGGTCGATCAGTTCAACGCATGCGCGCGCAGCGCCGAAGGCCGCGGGACAATTCAAATTTCTTGGTCTTCTTTCGTTGATTCAAGTTACAGACAATGAAAGACAAGTGATAAAAGTGTACAGGGGAGGGTATGGCAATATGGACACTAGATTTCAATAATGAGTTGAACTGAATTAAATCTACTGTTCCAGCTTCATTTGACGGTTGTAAAAAACAAACACATTGTCATAAGATTGCGTCGTAGGAGTTGTAAGGTAAAGCAGAAACGGGGTAAATTGACGCTTCGATTTCTGTCTCAATTGTTGCTTTCGAATGGACGAATTGAAATCATTCAAATTCAAGTTTTAGATTTTCTGTGTTATATCGATTCATTACGATCGAAAAAGTTCGAAAATGCAATTTTTTACCGTGTCCGTACGTATATCAGTAGCGAAGTGGTCAAACGATTTAAGTCAATTTAATCTTTAGTTGAGTTTTCCAGAATTTTTTCAGAATTTAAGGGAGATAGCGAAATTTTCATAATAACTTTTTTGTAGAGCGAATTGAGTGCTACTAAAAAGGTTATGAGGAAAATTTTGCCATCTCCTTTAGATTGCGAGATATTCATTGAAAACTGGCCAATAGCCGAAATCGACTTAGGCCGTTTGACCACTTCGCTATTGATATGTGTATTCATGTATGTGTGTGGTAAAGTTGTTCTTCAATTGTTCGCCAATGAATGGATGGAATTGAATCTTTTTTTCAAATATAGGTATTGTTGAGCCCGATCGATCGCCATTAATTAAAATATAATTCATCGATTAGTTTTAAAATTTTTTGGATTTTATCGGGAATCGGTTGTCTCACGATTACTAAAAAACATTTTCTGTTTGGATGTCCCTTCGACCAAGTTTGAAGGTGAAGGCTATAGCAATAATCGTTATTTTGATTTATTCGAAAATTTTCCAAAATTTTGTATTTTTTGAAAATCAGAATTCCGGGGATATCTTTGAATATCATGCTTCCAATGAATTCAATCATAGCTTAAAATGTTTGCTTTAATGCCATTAAGGCACGGGTATCTTTCGAACATTATCTCGATTTTTTTCCATCTTTCGTCATCTGAAATTGTCAATTAAGTTCTGCATCATGCAGAAGTTTTGAAAAATTATGAATGAATAATCAAAAAAAAAGTAGAAAAAATTCTTAATTTTTTCAAAGAGCATTTTTAATTTATATTCAGAATAAGTTGAATAACAAGAAATTGAAAAATGTATCTGATTTACGGTGACAAATGGCGACCTGACACCCAATATCATGCATGGGGAAGACTGATTTCGTAAATCTTTTCCACCCACACTGCAAAGAGACATTTATTACGGAAAGGACTCTTTGAAAAAAGTTGTAATATTTTTGAGAATTTTTTAATCACACTTTAATCCTATTCTAAAAATCACATAAAAATGGCAGATGACTACATACCACTGTTTTGAAAATTGAGATACCTGTTTTGTTATCCACCATGGAAAATGACAGCTAATAGATAATTTGCCACAGCGAATCAGATATTTGTAATTTCCACTTTTTTCAGCTCATTCTGAATCTCAATTAAAAACGCTCTTTGAAAAAGTTCAGAATATTTTTTTTATTTTTTTTAACATTCTATCATAACTTTTGGGAATTTCTACATGATGTACCACTCAATTGACAATTTTGGATTACGAAAGATAAAAAAAATCCAGATAACATTCGAAAGATAGTACACCCGGGCCTTAAGTCGAAGTTAAAAGATGACTACAATAGCGATATTGGTTGATTTGATTTTTATGATGATTGTTGATAATGGAATATGGGTGCAAGTGAATAAATAAATGTGGCAAAACAATGAGATATTTTATTAAAATCTCTTTATTTGCATGAGGAAGGCACGTCTGCAAAATTCTGATAATCTCATTTAAATAAGTTGGAAAATTACCACAGGTAAATGTAGTAAATTTACAACACGAATGGAATAGAATTGCTCATCTTATGTAGTAATTTTACAATATTCGTGTATGCGAGTATTCCTTTTTTTTCCTAGAAAATTCTCATATGATAACTGTAAAAAAAGTGTTGTAATTTTACCACACTATGTGTGAATAAAACTTCCAACATTTTTGTTAGAATTTCGGGTCAATTTTTTTTAACAGTATACTAGAGGACCGCTGTCCTGAGACTAAAAGCAATAGCCAAATGACAACTCTCACTGGGAAAACGAAAAGCAAAAATAATAAAGTTTTACGACTTAAGAGGACACAGTTCATCTTCAAATTTCAGCATGTGTTTAGGATTAAACCGCTCTCCAATGCAGACCACAACGGATCGTAAATTAGTCCTTTTCTATAACTGTTTTCCCAGCATGTCATAAATCTTTGTCGAGTAGTTTTTGTACAACAATAAAAGAGCTGTCCTCGAATATTCTAACAGTTAAAAATTTTGAATTTTTCATGAATTTCCCTGAAATTAAGCTCTCTGATGGTTTCGTCAAATCTGATGTTTGAAATTCATTCAAGCATGTGTAAATAAAATTTTTTTATTTATATTTTATCGAAGGGCTAGGGGGGAAGAGAGAACTGTCAAAATAGACAATCTGTTGTATAGAAGAAAGGGATAATAAAAATAATGATGCTGATAACATTTAACTAAGTTGAAAATCTGACATTTCTCTTTTATTTTTTGCGTTCTTTTTTTATAGAAATATATAATTTCTATAAAATCCTTGTATCCTTGTATAGCCACGAAATCCACTGTTCCCCCTAGTCACCCCAGCAACAATGGCGGCACCCCTGGTACACGCGTCGCCTTGGGTGGTAACAATCTCTGTCGTCCTGCACGTTCCATAGTATTTGTTAAAGATGGAGATTTTTGTTTATAACTCCATAAAGAAAACGCGGAGTCCGCGACACTTGCATCCTATATTTTTGTTTCAGAACTTTAGTAAACGAGTGTACATATTTTTTTACAGAACTATATATTTTTTTTAATTACAGTAAGAAATAAATTTCTCTTTTCTTACAGCAAGATCAATGCGCGCCCTCTCGCACGCGCTGATCTATTCATTTGTTGAAATGAAGAAATGGAATTCATTAAATTTCATTTTCTCATGAATACCTCATAAATATTGATAATGAATCAAAGATAATTCGACTAATGATTGAAGTGAATAGCGAAGTAGAGTAAAAGAATCTATATAAAGAATTTTTCATTTTCAATTAATTATCTTCAATTTTTTCAAATAATCGATCTCCATAAAAGGACAGAATTTATTAATTTCACCGATAATATATATACATGTGAATTATATATATATATATATATATANTATATATATATATATATATATATATATATATATATATATATACATATATATATACATGACGTGACAAAAAAATTTTATCTCTAAAGAATTTGAAATTATGTCACTGAAGAATTTGAAAATGACGCGTATTTTTTTTGTGAATAACTTCGTGTCACATATTGATCAATGAGAATTAAAGATTAGTGGTTAGCAGTTTCGAGATATTTCGATATAAAACAACTTCACGTTTCTTTCATCTTTAGTAAATAGGATTACTGTAAACGAAAGATTACAATACATAAAAAAATATATATAGACATCATATTACATAACTTGATAAGCGGAATAGAGGCTTTAAAAATCGTAAGTGGACTCCCTGAATTCTCTTGAAATTTCTACCTACCCCTTGCATTCCCTGGAATTTTCTAGAAACTCCCTGCATTCCCTTGAATAAATATATGTTTAATTTTACGATTTACATTATAGCTGAAAGATTCTTAAATTAGACGATACTGTAAAAAAATTTTTTTTCAACCAACTGGGGTCAGATTTATATAAAACTTGACGACAAAGTGTGATTTTGAAAAAACTGATGTGCTTATTGATTAAATACACGGAGGAATATTCAGTGCCAATTACGGAACAATTCACATAATCCGCAATGGGGAATCGTTTTCCGGAAATTTTTATAGAAATGGATGAGAAGAAACTGAAACGTTCAGTGAATTTTCAGGTTCGTCACTGGACAAAGTGCGAAATTGTTACGTAATTTTTCCCGAAGAAGTAAAATCTTACAGAAACTTCCCGACTTATTATACCTTCAAAATCAAAAATTCTTGAACGTTCAACAATTTTTATGAAGCTGGTGAGTTATTTCTACGTTCCGTTCCGTAAAATTTCTCAATCGTCGGGGAAAAATTACGAAACGACTTGTTGTCCCCACAGCGGTGAGTCATCAGACGGGTGGTTAATTTTTACGGAACAAATCGCAGAATTTAGGTGGCGATTCGTATAAGTTAAGTTCCGACTCACACTTTTTATTGAATTTTACTTCACTCGCGGATTACGTTTCGAAACGTAATTTTTACGTTTTTTTTCTGGTGATGTTTATTGAATTTTTCTCTCCGTGTAGAATTTTTAAGTGAGTATCGCAATGATTATCTAACTAGAATCTATTGTGATTCATTCATGAATTTTAATAATATTGTAATGGCAAATGTACTACTTAATGTCCTCAGGGGGTTACCATGTCCCAGGACTTGATAAGCACATGCATTTCATTCATTCCCTTGAGTTTTCTAGAAAACTAGATCTGCGCGCGCGCGCTTATCTTTTTGTTGTGAAAATGAAGAAATCGAATTTATTAAACTTCATATACTCATAGATGTTTTATAAATATTGATAATGACTTAAAGAGAATTAAGAGAATGAAGAGTGAAGCATCAATGAATAATTTTTAATCTTCGATTAATTCTTTTTTTTTTACTTTTTAAAATAATCTGATTAAAATCGGTAATTGTTGAAAAATCAGGGGAGGGTGATGAATTGATTTCCTAGAGAACTGAAAAAATTTCTTGAATTCTTCGGAAAATTTCAGTTTTCCAGATAAC